GAGTAAAACTAATCAAACTATAATTATGAAAATGAAAACTCCTTGGCCCATGGCCTACAAGAAACAAAATAAATGTAAGATTTTAAAATTTATTAGTCACTTTTTAATAGTGAATTTTTAATAATATAAGATATTTTCTAAGGTGATATCAACATTCACGTGATGTGTTTTTTTTAAGATATATATATTTTTATCATGAATTTAATTTTAAATATATGAATATTTATTTTCAACGTTACCAAATAACGAAGACAATAATTTTTAGCATAATGTACATTTCAAGAGTGAGATAAAAAATTAATAATGGGTGAGTTGACTTGTATTTAATATTTTTTTAAAATAGTTTTAATAAAATAAACATGTTTATGTTTTTGCATGTACTTTTGTTTAAAAGTAAGCATTTTTTTTTACTTTTTGAATAATAAAGTTCATATAAATGAGTTTTTTTAAAATTACTTTATATACAAAATATTTATTTTAAATTTAATCAAACTAACCCATTAATTTATAAATAACCAATTAAAAAAACATGAATTTGAAACCAATTAACTGGTAAAAAGATTTAAAAGAATTAGCTTGATTCTAACCTTCTTTATTAAATCTTTTCATGTGTTGTTATTTTTCATTGACTCTTTATAATTTTGAATGTTCTCTTAAAATGCAGATTTTTTTTATCAAATTTTATAAACTTATAAAATCCTTTTGAATCTTTTAAAATTGACACTGTATAATTTTATTAACATCTAAAATGTAAAATCTTAATAATAAAAAAATTATTAAAGAGTAATAAGTCGTAGCATTCCTGCAAAAAAAATTAAAAAATATTTTTTAACGTTAAAATATCAGTTTGAGATTATACATATAGAAAAAGCACTAACTTTAAATTATATATAATTTATTTATTATTATTATTATTATTATTATTATTATTATTATTATTGAAATTTTTAACTCCTACATAAAGATAATATATGGAATATAATCAAACTTTTTTAAAATATAGTTAATAGTAGTAGGTCTTCTTACATAATGTTATATATAAATTCTATTAGTAAAAGATTGAATTCTTGTATTTATAAATATAACTGTTTATTTTAATCAATTTATTTAAGTATATTAGTAAGTTAAATAGAGAAACAATATTTTTGTACTGTTAATATAAAAAAGTTTATAAATATAATAATAACTTAATCTTTTAAATTTATTTTTTTATAAAATTTTTTCATATATTTTTAAAAAATCTAATAATGTCTTAGTATTCATTATAAAAAATATTTATCTTTATTATTTTTTTAAATATTTTAAAGGGATTTTTGTTTTGTTTATAGGTATGATATTTTCTCATTAAAGATAAATATTTACAATCATATCTAGATGTCAAAATAAATTTAGTTTGGGTCATTCAAAAAATTAGGTTAAATTAAATTAAAAAATCGTAACTTAAATTAAATTAGGTTTATTTCGGTTTGTTATGGACTTAATCTAAGTAACTTATGAATTGGTTTATTTTATAAAATAGTAAATTATTTATTAAATAAAATAAAAATGATATTATTTTATTAAAAAACATATATATTATAAATTAATTTAATAATAACCACTTATTTTAAAATCTAATAATTAAAATTAATTATTATTTTAGACAAATAAATTATTAAAGAAAATGAAAAATGATAATAAAGAGTAAATTTGTAACTTTGAATAAATTTATTCTCCTATATTTTATATATTAAATTATTAAATCTTAAATAAAATTTAATTTCATTAATATAATTTACTTTTTATTTAAATATTTTTTTAATTAATTGTTTTGGTATAAATACATTAATAATTTGTTTATTTATTTTTCAATCAGGTAAAAATTTGCTCATTGACTTAATATTAAGCAAATTAGACTAAAAATTATAATCCATTTTAAAATATAGATTATATTAAATCATTATTTATTTTGTTGAATTTAACTCGTAAGGTCAAGCTAATTTGTTTTGACAGTCCTAATCTTAATTTTATTGATATATTTCATTAATTATAATTTTTTATTGATCTTGTATCATTTGATGAATTTTGGAGATTTTTGCTTGGAAGACCAAAAAAAAAAGTACGAGAACCTTGTTTTTTTTTTTCATAGTAATTTAGACTTAATATCCCACTATGATTAAGTGACTGGATCAATAAGGTTGTTTTGCAATAATGAGATTATATTTTATAACCTAATTGTTTTTATTATTATGTGTTTAATTGGTTTGAGTATATTTTTAGTGAATTATATGACTTTATAAATGGATTGATAGATGAACATAATTAAGCTAGTAAAATGTATAATGTTTTTGGTGATAATATGAGTAACAATGTGTTAGGATGATTTAGAGTGTTTTAGACTTTCTAATAAAATTTGCATAATTATAATATTTACATAATTTTTGCTCAAGTGAGATTTATTTTCTTAAGGGAGGAGATTCATGTGATAAGACATATGGTCTCTTTGAATAATTTTTTGTTTAAATGAAGAATTTTTGGTGGAATGAGATTTGACTTTGTTGTATTTTCTTTTAAGTTAGAAAATATTTTCCTTTAATAGACAATTCTTTAGCTTAAATGAAAATATTTTAAAGGGAAATGCGAATTTTGGGAATGAATCTTACTCAAACGAATATAATTCGCTTAATTGATAATATGTCATGATTCAAAGTTTATGTGATGAATGTGAATTATATCTTATTATTTTTAACACATAATACGTGGAGATTTGAGAATAATGTATACGAAAAGATATACAATGTATTGTTGTATACTGAGTATAAGTAAAATCTAAATTTGAATTGGTTATTAAAATATAAATACTGAGTATAAGTAAAATCTAAATTTGAATTGGTTATTAAAATATAAATTTGAGTTAGTAATTTTAATGAGATTGTTGAAATTTAAATTTGAATTGAAAACTCATGTTAGATTTAAATGAGAAAGTTAAATAATATATAAGTAAAAAAAAAACATAAATTTAATGATTTAAGATTTTAGATTAAAAATATAAAATCATAATATTACTTATATGATTAATTAGAAAGGTGTACACGACTTAAGTCTGTGTTTGGTTGATTTTGGAGAAATTGATCAACAATTCCTTGATTGGGTTGGATGGATTGTGTTACATTTAAAAAAAATATTTTTTTAAAATTTTAAAATTTAAATTATTTTTTTCAATATTTTTCAAAATAGACTAAATTATTTATTAATTGAATAATCTAATATTTCAAAAACTATATATTTATTTAACATAATAATTAAATAAATTAAATGATAAATATATTATTATTATTAATGTTACAAAATATTTAATAATTTTTATTTAGTGGGTTGGATTGGGTCTGAAGTTGAATATACAAAATCTTTTATCCAATATGTTAAAGATTGCATTATGTTGGGTTTGATAATGTAAAATTCAATCTAATCAACTTAGGTTAGATTGGGTCGTCTGGTTACCCAATCCAATAAATATCCCTAGTTGATTTAATATGGTCACATTCATGAATATCACGTAAATATTGACCTCATAAAAAAACCTAATGGAAAAATCTAATAATGGTGTCAATTGATAATTTGTTTAATATGAAATAGTTGATGTATCTTAAATAATGGATTTTTGTATATAAAAAACTTTTTTGATAAATCTTTTGAATTACCACTAGAGAGGAGATATGTCAACATGGAAGAGACTCTAAGACAACCTTCTAGGCAAACCAATGAGGATACAAATATAGAAGAAGCTGATATTTAAGAAGATAGATGATTGGAATCAAAATATAAGGTAAATAATATAAATAATAAGAAAAACTTATAATTTACTTATAAAACTATATTATATTAGATAATTTAATTATTATGATTAAATTTAAATTATTAATTTGCTAGTAATGTGTAATAGATGTTAAAAGAGTTATTTTTATTATGTTTAATTAGTATTTTTTTAAGTTGTATAAGTGATATTATGTTGAAAAATGATATATATAAATAGATCAGTGACTGTTTATGTGTATATTCTTTTAATAGTTAAGTGAGGTGTTACATAATTAGTTTTTTTTATTGAAATCATTAATATTTACTCTTTAACTTTTTTTTTATTGTACAATAAAATAAAATAAAATAATTGAATATATCAAACCAATGATAAAAGTAAAATAATCATACATCTTATGGCACTATATTTCATCCTAACTAACTAGTTAGTGTTATTTTCTTTTTCTTCAGTGATGTTTTCTGACATAAAGAAATGCATTTTTAAAAATGATGCATACAAATATACAACAGACCATTGTACTTTATAAGCCAATAAAAAATATCAGAAAAACACGTGACATTCCTCAATCGTATAAAACTCCAATCAAATACATCAAACGAAAAATGAATTATCTAAACAAATTAAATTATTAAAAATAAGAAAAAAAATTGTTTTGATATACGTATTTAATAAGTAAAGAGGGACCCAACGAATTATCACCATTACGTGTTGTGTGATGCTGTAGAGACGAGAGAGAAGGATGTTCCTAAACCGCGTCAATTAATTAGGAAATGCTGGCAGAAGGGACCTTTCCTTCCATTCCCCTATAATCGCGTTCACAAACTAGATTACGTCTTTCCTAGAAACAGTCCTACATGGATACCTATTTCTAATTTCCAAACAGAACACAAAAACACACATGACACGCTAACGCTATAAATTCCCCTCCCCACCACTTCTTCCCTCACACCAAAACCAAACAAATCGTTGAAGCATATGTCTCAAAGGGCCACGGTTCCACACTCCTCTTCCATAGCCTGTGGCCTTCATTCTCATCTTCTGGTCTCCAGTGAGATGAACCCTAATTCCAATTGGTCCCAATAGTTTTTATTTCCCCTCTTTTTTCTCTCTTATTCTTTCAACCTCAAACCAATTCTTTATCGCTAACTCTAATTAACTCTTATTCATTCCCATTCTCATTTTCCGACACAAAAAAAAAAACATCATGGGTGTCAAAGGTTTCGTAGAAGGAGGCATCGCTTCCATCATCGCGGGATGTTCCACCCATCCACTTGATTTAATCAAGGTCCGCATGCAGCTCCAGGGAGAAACCAACGCTCCCAAACCGGTTCACAACCTCCGACCCGCACTCGCCTTCCAAACCGGGTCAAACATCCATGTGGCAGCGGTTGCGCAGCCCCGCGTGGGCCCCATCGCGGTCGGCGTCCGCCTCGTCCAGCAAGAAGGCGTTGCCGCCCTCTTCTCCGGCGTCTCCGCCACCGTCCTCCGCCAGACGCTCTACTCCACCACTCGCATGGGCCTCTACGACGTCCTTAAGACCAAGTGGACCGACCCCGCCTCCGGCACCATGCCTCTCGGCCGGAAGATCGGGGCTGGTCTCATCGCCGGCGGCATCGGTGCCGCCATCGGGAACCCTGCCGACGTCGCCATGGTCAGAATGCAGGCCGACGGGCGACTCCCGCCGGCGCAGCGGCGCAACTACAAGTCTGTCGTCGATGCCATTATGCGAATGGCACGGCAAGAGGGCGTTACTAGTCTGTGGAGAGGCTCATCGCTTACGGTGAACCGCGCCATGCTCGTGACCGCGTCGCAGCTCGCGTCGTACGACCAGTTCAAAGAGATGATTCTGGAGAGGGGCGTGATGCGCGACGGGCTCGGGACCCACGTCACGGCGAGCTTCGCGGCGGGTTTCGTGGCGGCTGTGGCGTCGAACCCCGTGGACGTGATCAAGACCAGAGTGATGAACATGAGGGTGGAGCCCGGGCAGACGCCACCCTACGCCGGCGCGTTGGATTGTGCTCTGAAGACTGTGCGCGCGGAGGGACCCATGGCTCTCTACAAGGGTTTCATTCCCACGATCTCGAGGCAGGGACCCTTCACTGTTGTGCTGTTCGTGACGCTGGAACAGGTTCGCAAGTTGCTTAAGGATTTTTGATCGATGAAGATGACGACGAAAAATGCTTCTTTCCTTTTCAATAAGATCTGTTCTGTTTTTTTGTGTTGTGATACTGATGATGTAGCTCTATAATGGTAATTTTATCTATTAATCAATGAGAAAAGCAGCTTTTAATTTTCCAATTGGGCTTTGACACCACAAAAGATTTTGGGTGGAAACGAAAATTGTGATATTGTCTTTGATTTTGCTATGCACCCAATTCTACGAATTTTGTTTAGGTAATTTGATTCCTCTGGGAAAAACTCAGGAGGCTTGTTATTAGCGGTGGTAATAGAACTCATTGTCGTTATCTATGGGCAACAAAAATCTATCGGAAATATATGCATTTGATTTGAAAGGTGGTGGTGATATTAGATTATCAGTGAAGCTTTCTGTTTGTGAGTCTTTCTCACAAAAGACTCAGCACACTTAATTGTAGTTCTGATCTGCCACTCATTTTGTGGGTTTGGGGCCATATGCATATCCTGCTGTGAACAAAATGTTGTGGAATGTGGATTATTCTTTACTTCTTTTAAACTCTTGTTTTAATCTCCATCCTTCTTTTTAACCCATGTATCCACTGTCACCCCTTCTTTCTAAACATGCCCTTTCAACTTTATTCTCTATAATTGGTTGGTACCAAATGCTAGAAGTAACTATGAATTATTTATTTATAAAATTATTGATGGACTCCAACTTCTAATAGATGCTTAGAGAGATACAGAGAGAAGTGCAAATACATTATCTAATATCAATATTAGAGAAAGATTCTTGCTTATTAGTACCCTATTTATATATGAGAAGGATTCATTAATAACATTTTACTCTTAACGTGTTTTGAAACATTTTTTCTAAAGTTTTAATGTATTTTTACTTTTATAATAACTGGAAATTTATTTGAAACTATTAAATTATGTTTAAGATGTGAGATTCATAAAATGTTGTGATTTAAATAAATTTGAACCAATTACTAGAATGTGTTGTTAGTATTTTTATTTATTTGTAGATTAATATTAGTTAATTACTCCATATATTTTTCTAACTATGAAGTTATTTAAGGAAGCACTTGGTACAAAAAAAGAATTTAGTTTTCAGCAATCTGAAGTTTGTGAAGGATTATTTATCATCTTTGGTAAATGTTCTAAAAACTACTCCTTTTTACAAAATAAGGTTTCTCCTAATTGTTTTAGGTTGTGTTTCCCACAAAAATTTATAGGAGTGAAAATCTAACTTTCTTGAATTATTATTATTTTTTTATGAAAATTTTATTTGGTTCTTATTAAATTAATGTGCTAAATAATTAAAAGTTTCTTGTTTTCTTTTTGGAAAACTTTTGTCATGATTTCTAAACATGAAAAAGACTTCTCTAGTATGAAATGTTTTCTAAGAATAATTTTGAAAGAATTACTTCATATCTTTGACGTTTATTTTTATTTTTCTTAATTTAGCGGTTACAAGTAAGTTACTTATTAAATTATGTTATTTTCCTTATTTTAACAGTTAAAAGTAAGTTACTCTTCAAATTATTAGATTAAAAAAATTGGAAGATAACTCGTGTAAAAATTATGGTAGTGAGAACTTGCTAGGTATTTATATACACAAGATAAAATAAGCCGAAGAAACAGTAAATGGATAATGAATCTATCTTAAATCCAGGAAAGTCTATTATATTATCTATGCTCCAAGTTTAGTAATATTTGGAGAGAGAGGTTTTAAAGAGGAAAATTTAAATATCCAGATATAACATATAAATAGGATATAATTATAATCTATTGTTGTTAAACTAAGTTAGACAACTGGAGTCACCATATCTCTCATATTTTTTGTCTCGTGTTCACTTAATCAAGTGAAACATGATTAAATCATATCTGAATTTTTCCTCCATGGAGCACAAAACCCAATCTTTCTCGTCTGTACCTTTTTTTTCCCTGATGTGGGACTTAACAATTCTCTAACATAAGGACACTCCAAACCTGTGGCTTCAGAATCATGCATGTAGGATAGGATGCTACACAACCAGCATGACAGCTAAGACACGTTCTGCACGAAAACAACGATTTACTTTCCTTTTATTATTCATGACAGTCATCAAAGATATTGACGATTATACACCACATTTTCCACTTCAAAATAGAAACGAAACTTTAGCATATGGCTACAATTTCTGCCCCATATATTAAGTAAAACAGACCAAAAAGATAGAGTTGGATACATCCAATCGGGAGGAAAATTGTTTAGGTACAACGTACACATTTTTATAGAATATAGAAATCGCGAGTTGATAAGCACGAATAAAATTTCACAATTTATTGAAATACTTTAAATTTCAATGTTATCACATGTTTATCTTCCATTTCGAGTAAAAGTGATCAATGCATTGTGTATGTGCAATGATAGTCTCAAAGAGTCAGGACAAAGGGCATGACCATGCATAGCTTGATGCAAAATTTTGGATTGTTGAGGTTGTTTTACGTATCGCTAGTGGGAACATTTTGATATCTAGAATATAAATTGCTGGCTGTTATTCATTATTTCATTTTCTACCACATGAAATTAACCAGAGGTAAGTAAGCTACACTGGGGTTGGTAATAAGTGATTGTGATTCCATACAAATAAATTTTCAATGGAACTTTGATATTAGTGGTTTAGGCAATATGGCTGAAAAAAGTTAAAACGCAATAATTGATCACGAATCAACACTATAATTGGAGCTAGGACTGCACAAACTTCCAATTTGTCTGCCAAAAAAAAGTCCCAGAGTAAACTCATAATCAACAGGAATATTTTCAGTATATATTCATATTCACCTGGGACCATGAGTAATCTGGTCCTTATAAGGTGGGTTATTGAATCAGATTTGCTAGTTACTGAAAATTCCACTCAACACCAAAAGATTAGAAAGGGAGTGTGCGTGCAGCAAGTTATTTATAACCCATTATAATGGACCCTATAATATATTTGTTAGGGGTAACATCTTGTTAAAGAGATTACAAAATCCTAGTTTCCACGTTATAAGCTGTTTCTCATCTGCTTGTAGATATTTCCAACATCTCCCAAAAAAACTACCCTCCTTTGCAATTTTCTTCAACACACTTTCTCATATTAATGTGAGTATCTCTCTCGAGATATTCGTACTTTGTCAATCACGTTATGCAGATTAAACTTCTAGACTTGGCTTTCAGCACAGAAATACGGAGGCTTCCAGATGTTCTACATCATAGGCATTGTTCTCATCACCAGGAACAAAGTCTTTATGATGGAATTAAGAACTGGTCTTATTCTAACTCTGTCTCAAAAAAGTAAACTAGGGACCATCAGACTGAAAATTTCTTCACATATTTTGGGTGTTAAGCGTGTCACCTAATGGATATAAAAGATCGTCATCTTATTTGTCGAAAACTTCTAAATTATGTGCATCTGTATCAGAGGAGACTCTGCAATGGTCAGAGAACAAACTATAAAACTGAATTTGACATGATATTCAAACTAAAACATTAGGTTTAATCTCTTTTCACTTATATATCACTCAAATTAACTATTTTCCAAAAGCAAGTTCTAGCCATGCCAAATTATTAAATCCTTGTATCTCCTCTCATTTAACTACATTTTCTAATACTATCCCTCTTTCACTTTGTTCCAAGTATCAATATATCTTCTGCTTGTAAGTCAAAAGAGTTACATGGTCCATCAGTTTCTTACTACTGCCTTCTTTCATCACCTCCTCTTTTTTCCTAAGCTATTTATTCGTCATTCATTTTGTTCGTAAATAACTTTATTCATTCTAATATAAAAAATCGAATCAAATTAAATTTTTAATTGTAAACATATAAAATATTCGAATCAAATTAAACTCATCAAGTTAAATTTATGAATAATTAATAATTCATATTATTTTTCAAAATTCAGTAAATCTTCTGGATCAAAATTATCGGTTTAAAACATTTTTAAAAGTATAATTATAATAGGTTATTGTAATTTTTTTTCAAAAGTATTACTTTTATGGATAGATTAATTTCCATTATGAATAAAAATGAGTGAATAAATTAAATTGGTTTTTTTATTAAATGGATAAGAAGTTGATGTCAAATTCAATAGTGGAGAAATAAAACAAAGACTAAGACTAAGCTTAGATTAGCTTATGAAAATGACACGGGAGTGAAAACTAAGTAGAATGATGATATTTTAATATTCATAAAAAGAAGCTTTACAAGAAAAAATAAAACCGTTAGGAGCGAAATACAAAACACTGAATAAAGATCCTCTCACCCTAGTCTTTCATATTAACTAAGTCATTGGTCAAGAAATGAGAAACAAACATTGCGTTTTGCACTCTTCATCCTACATACATTTTCACTCATTTTAACCTTACTTTTGTATTTTTTTATGAGGAAAAGACTTATCTTACGAGTTGTATTATTAGGTTGAATGGAGGTGATTCAAGTCCTTTGACGTGTGATCTACGTTTCATCTTAAGAATTATTTTACGGAATAGTTGAAGAGTTAAGCTATGTTATAAAACTAGAACTCCTCAATTCACAAAAGAATTACCTCCCAATCTTTACAGTGTGTATTGTTCTTCTATCAATTTCCTTGTAGTGTTATAGGCCTTCCAAAGATTGTTCAATCATCTCTAAGATACGTTCTAACTATGAAAATTGTTTGCATGTGTTGCACAAAAAATCCAACATATGCATGCTATATGATAAATAAATAAATAAAACTATATATAAATTTTTCTTATATTCTATTCGTAAATGGTACCAGATATATTTTGTGTATAAACTGAAATCTAAATTTATTTATTATTTTTATTCCATAATAAATATTGAAGCCTTTCAAAACTCAATATTAAAACTTCTAACCCACCTTTGTTGGTGGTGTTAGCAAAAGAGGTCTAAACAAGTATCATGGAAAGATATAGAAAGAGTGTGAAAATAAATAATGTATTAACATTTACGGGAGAAACACAATATTTATAAAAAAACTAAAAATTAGTTAGGCTAACCAACTTAATATAAATAATTATATAATTGTTGAATTATTATTTAACACAATCTCTTAATTTAATAATTGATTTCATGTTTAATTTTTTTCTCAATTTTTCAATTCTTTGATTGTTCAAAGGTTTCGATTGAATCCTGCTCCAATTTCTTACTTTATCTTTTATCTTTCTTTTTAACTCCTCGATGTAACTTTGATTTATTATTCTTCGATTATTTGGGAGATCAGTTAATTCTCATATTTTATTCTTCTTTATTGTTAATAACTCCTCTTTCATAGATTCGATCCACTTGAACTCCTCGATTGCTTCTTCAAAGCAAACTGGTTAAGCCTCGATGTTGGCATAAAAGGCTAATGCACAATATCATTCTTGTTACCGTTTCTCCAATCATCTGTCCAGTTGTTGTAATAGAATCATCAATATTAATTTCTTAATCATCAAATTTAGTTGGTGTTTTAATCAATCTAATTAGTCAATTTCTCCTTCCTTCGATTTTAGGAATCGGTCGATTTCTTTCTCCTCCTTCGATACTAGAAATCGATTGATCTTTGCCTTCGATTTTTGTATCACTTGAGTCATTGAAGCTAATACATCGATTTTCCACCATTGAACACCATTTTCAATAATATTTCTCATCTACAACAAGTTATTCGATACTAAAATATCAACTCAAAAAATTTTATTCTTACTCAAAGGTGCCTTTAAAATTGGTGTTCCATTCTTATCAAGGATTCTCAAAATCTGCTCCCTAGATCTCCAATCGATCAAGAGTCATTTTTGAAGAAGTTGACCGATACTCAATAAATTGTGTTTTATGATTAGAACATAACACATATGAAATTATTACAAATTTGTCATCTTTTTTTTATCATTATTCTTCCTTTATCTACAAATTTCACCTTCGACTTTACATTTTCATCTAGATCGACATATTAACTCTTCTAAAACAACCAATATCTAAATACCAAGATTCACCAAAAGTCTTCATTGGTTTCATTGTGGTCACCATTAATAGCATTCATCCTCCTAGTCTTCCTTTTATACAACATTTGCTTCTTCTTCTTTACTCCAACAATCAACAACATAATGATCATGCTTGTAACCGTTGTAACACTGTACATTCTTCTTGCTCGCACCTAAGCCAGATCAACCACCTCTCCATTTTGAGTTTTTGTCATTACCACCTCTCGATTGTGAAGAACTCTCTTGTTTCCCTTCTGAGTCTTTCTCTACCATGATTTCTACATCTTCCTCTCCCTCTCTTATTTGATTTTCCTCGATTCCCATCAATCTTTTGATTTTGTTTCATCGACAATGTCTGTTCTGCATTAGACTTCTTTTTTTCTCTTTCATTTAATCGTTGTATTTTGATCCTCTAATGACCCTTGTAGTTCATCAAGTTTCAACAAATTGATATCTTTAGACTCTTCAATAGTTATAGAAATTATGTCGAACCTAGCATTGAGGGTTCTGAACACTTTCTCTACCATCGCACATTCTTTCAAGATTTTATCACATGACACTCATCAAGTTTGTGATCGACAACAATTTTGCAAAATATTCTTAGATGATTTCTTGTGTCCCCATTTACAACAACTCATACTGATAACGTAAGGTTTGAAATCACACCATCTTCAACCTTTTTACTCTTACATAACTTTACGCTAGTATGTCCCAGACTTCTTTCGTTATGTTTGTCAATAAGATTTTCTCAAAATTATTTTCAACGATACACTGATGAATGTAAAACAAAGTTTTACATTCACGTTTCTTCTCATCACGAAACATAACACGTGCCTTGGTGAGATTTTTTCATAACCCATTATATCCATTCAACATTATATCCAAGACTTCTTGGAACTCAAAGATAACATTTATTTTCCCGCACCATTTATCATAGTTATTCAAATTTTTGTTATCGAACATTGTCATATTGTCATGCAATACAATTCCTATCATTGTAAATCGATTTTCTTTCTTTTTTTTCTCAGATCTTAAAGTTCTTAATATCACTATTAACAGAAAAAAGTCTAAACAAGTATATAAAAAAATGTGTGCAAATAAATAATATATTCACAAATAATAGACACAACATTTATGACAAAAACTAAAAATTAATTAAATAACCAACCTAACATAAACAATCGTATAATTCCTGAATTATTATCTAATTGGAGACTAGGGCAAACAAATTGGGATTCACCTATTATTGCAACCCATCCAAAACCTTGATATAGTATGGGACGATATCTCATTAGATTTCATCCCTGGCTTGCCTCGTTCCCAGGGGTTTGATGTGGTACTTGTAGTTGTGGTTCGTTTATCCAAATTTTTCTTTCTCTGAAGCATCCATACACTAGTTGAACAATTGCAGAATTATTTATTCGCGAGGTGGCCAAACTCTACATGGATTTCCTAAATCTATTATCAGTTATCCATATCCTTTGTTTCTACGTAAATTTTGGAGTGACTGATGCTGACTAAACTGAGGTTGTGAATAAGTGCTTGGAAACTTATTTTCGTTGCTTTTCTTCAGAACACCATCAAAATGACATTTATGGCTTTTATTGGCAGAATATTAGTACGATACTTCTTTCCACTCAACCACAGGGAAGACACATTTTGAGGTGGTTTATGGTCGAACACGTCCTTTTGTCACGCGTTTTCTACTAGGGGAGACACAAATGGATTCTGTAATGTTGGTTCTGTTTGAAAGAGATGAGGTTATTTGCCAATTGAAGTTCCATCTTCAAAGGGTCCAACAATCCATGAAAAGGCAACTGATAAATATCTTCGAGCAGTAATATTTAAAGAGGGAGTTTGGTTTTTTGTGAAGTTGTGCACCCACAGACAGCAGACAATAACTCGTCGATCCTAAACTTTCACCTCGATGATTTGGACCCATCCAAAGTTTTATAACTTTAATGTAATTTATGATTTTTCTCTTCAAATATAATGAATATTTAATATATTTACTTATATATTTACAATTTTATCCTTTCAGCCCCTTCTTAATTTTGTAACTCTCATATAATTTATGATTTTGTTTTCCTCAAACTTAATGATAATTTAATATATTTAAGTATATATCTATAATTTTATATTTTCATCCTTTTATCTTCTTTCTTCTTGTTATATTTATTTATTATTTATTAATAATATATTATTTAACCCCTTTAAAATTAATGGTCAAGATCCGCCACTGTTGTACACTGTCAGATAACTTATCGATTGAAGCTTCTAGACTCTAACAAGGTTTATCCAGTTTTTCATGTATCACAACTCAACAAATCCTTGACAGTTGGTTCTAATGTTGTCTCACTGCCTCCCAGTCTAACCATGGATGACGCGGATGCACCATTTCCTGAAGTTGTCCTAGAGGACAAGGCTAATTTGTTAGGGGGTGGTATTGTTAGAAAAGAGGGGCCATTAGAGATAAGCCCTTTAAGGTTTATCAATGTCGGCCCAAAACTATCAAGGGTAGTGTGGTAATTGTTGAGTTTGTTAGAAAGGAGTACTTCAGTTTTCTGATATATGGTTAATATTTTTTTTATTGAATATCCTTCAAACAATTATTTTTTATACTTTTATATTATTATTTATTTATCTTATTTTTTTATTAATAAACACACAAAAAATTATTTTAAAATGGTTTATAAAATGTTTCAAAAATCCCGATTGCAAAAAACCTTTTTTTTCTTATAAGAAAGTGCAGTCCAACTATATGGAGGCAGATGAAAATTCCTAATTAATATAAATCTCCGTTATTAATCTCCATTATTTTTTAATAATTAAATTTAAAATAAAATAAAATAAAATAAAATAATTAATATAAAATCAATTTTTTTAAATTAAACTGATTATAATAAAATAAAATTTAAATATTAAATATTTTTAATATATTTTTATAAAAAATAGTATATTTTAGTTTTTTTATCTCATTATTTACATTAACTTTAAATAATAATTATTTTAGTTTTATTTTATTTTAATCATTATTAATAAATTAATTATACACTTATTGTATTATAAAAATATTATTTTATTAAATTTAATCAAATCAAATTAAATTTCTAAAATCTCAACTCATAATTTCATTGGTTTAATAATCTATTCAATTTTAAAAACATTACTTTATAGTTATTTATTTTACAATTCACAAAATTTGTCCCATTTTTTATATACCGCTTGAAAAGCAACATGCAAATGCCAATAATAATTGTCAACCAAGATACCGATTTTGTACGATTTTATATGAATTTTTGAGTGGTTTTGAATAATTATTTTATTTTATTTTTAAATGTTTTGTTTGATAAAAGAATTCATATTTTTAATGTTTTATTTTTAAAAAGTAAATATATATTTTAAAATTATTTTTTCGATATTAATTTTCAAAAAAAAAAAAAAATATATATATATATATATATATATATATATATATATATATATTCTTTGATATTTAAGATTCATAATCTACATAAATAAAGATGATTACTTATAAAATAGTTTTTTTTTACATGAGACAAATTAAATATGCATCTAAAAATATTTTTAAAGGTAAACTAATAACAAATTTTTTTAATTCTAAATTATTTTTCTAATAAATCTCATTCATGTTAAAGCAATTCCAATAAAAATTATTTATAATCTCAATTACTTAATTGTGTTTATAAGAAATTATCATTAAAATAATTCAACATAGTAATAACAATTTAAAAAAATTAAGTACTATAATTTATAAAAATCACGTTCTTAAGAGCTATTTTTCTCAAATTTTTTTATTTCTTCCCTTATTTTTACCAAATGGTATAATAGATTCAATTAAAATAAAAAATAGTAGTTCAACATTGAGTTGATGATAAAAACCGACCGCTCAAGTAAATTTGTAAAATTTAAATATAATATGATATAGCAGGTGATTTCTTATAAAAAACCATTAAGATAGATAAATGGTCTTATATTAAAAGTTCCGAATCCCTATAACATTATGACGCCACCGTGTCTCACGCGCACCCCAGAGCCAAGATCAATGGATGAAGGAAAATTATCTCCAGCGCTGCTTCTCTTCCATGGGCGATCAGAGGGTTACAGATTTTTTGGATTCTATTAGCATGGAACAACTGAGAAAGTTTCGCAGAATTATGTAGGGATATTGATGCCTAACACAGAGCAACCATTCCGCAGTCGCCATTATTGTTGCCGGTGAAGCATTCATCTTCTTCTCCAATTATTCTCTTCAAACTTGGTGGATCCTCCCTCTTTCCCTACTTCCCGTATTTTCGATTCTAATTAGGGTTTTTGCTTTCCGAAACACTTGAAGGGAACCCAGAATGGGGGTTCTGGTGCCGCCTTTCTTTTAGGTCGTTGATTTCTACTAGAACATAAAACAAATTGGCAGTTGGTGCTGCGCGTGGTGCATTGGCAATTATGGAAGTAATTCCAGCAAAGTATAGGCACATGATTGGGGGTCCTTCTTTTAAAGTGGATCTGCACACGGGTGTTGTTGCTGTAGTGATTTGTTTGAAGACTTGGTTGCTAGCCAAGACAACCGTAGTTTTGGTCATGGTTGGATCTGCCTACACCAGTGGCCAATGTGAGTGATTACCTTTTTGCTTTTTTTTTTTGTTTTTTCATGCATGAATTGTATTTGTTTCTTGCATCTGTCTTTTACATTGACACTGGGGTGATTTAAATGATTCTTTTGAAAACTCCTAAAACTTGACCTCAAGATTATATAGGTAGGAGGACATTATAGTCCATGAGAGTTTAAAAATATTCATTTTATTCCTTCCCTACCTTATTATCTGGTGTGGCTTTGTACCAAATAAAACAAAATGAGTGACTCTGTTTCTAAAATCTGAGGTGCCAAAGCTAAAATGCTTTACTCAATTGTCATATTTTCTTCTCTTCTTCATCAATGATTTTTTTAAGTTATATTTGTAAATTTTTTTTATGTTTTAACAATTTCTGCGTAAGATTTCTTGTACCTGAATTTAATTCTTGCCCCAACCTTTGATTATGAAAATTTTATGTTTTGGAACTCTGACACACTATTCTGTTGTCTCTACTCTACTTTGTTCACATACGTTGGTCTCTACTCCGAGTTGTATTTATGTCAAAGAGGGGTCTATGTTCTGTTTTATTGTTATCTGTTTATGTTTTGTTCGGATAGGCAACCTTATGTTACCCTTTCTTGCTGTAGTTTCTTTTTGTTGTCTTTGATATCACTTTACTCTTATGTTATTAACTTTCCTCAATTTTCTTCGTGATAATAAAATCTGAAAATATTCAAACACTACTTGTTCCTTTTATTTATCCTTGTTTTTTTTTTGTTGGTCATAACATTATTTTTCTTGACTCATGCAAAATATATAACATAGGTAAATATAGTTTGCTTTTTTATTTAAATGTTTGCGGATAAATGCAATGATTTATGACTCGCTGGGTAGAACTGGAATAAGCTAATTAATGAAAATAAAGTCGTAGGTTGATCCTAGTTGTTGTCTTCACGTTCAGAAGTCCAGTTTATGGTGCATCGGTTTTTAACAAGAAGCATGCAAAAATGAGTTGCGGATAAATTTTAATAATGTTAGAACTCAGTTTACAACAAGAGAATAAAAACAAAATAAATAAATGAATTTTGAATGTTTGTCCCACAACCAATATTTGAGTGTTTGTTTGAGTAAAACAAGTAAAGATGCCTTATACAATCCCACTTTTCAATAATCAATGCATATAACAAATTATTTAATTCTGAAGTTCGTCATTATAGTGCAGTTATATTTAATACACCGTTGAGTTTTTATCATATGATATCACTAAGATACAAATATAATATCTGTTTGAAAACCAAATAATTATATAACTAATATGGACAATAGTCAAAACACTAATTCATGCTTCTTTTATTACTTTTTATAAAAAGTAAACGGTAATATTTTTAACATTAAGTATCGAATTTCATTCCATTTTCTTTAGGTTCATCAAAGAAAAATTTGGGTCAGAGAAATATTGCTTACTGTTGAAGCATTCATGTTCATGTAAGAAATTGTTTTCCATGCTTACATTAAAGACTAATAATGTTAATCATACCCACATAACCATTTAATAATTTTCACTTGCTATAATCAATTTACCTAAAGACAATTGTTATCTTACATAACGAATGAAGAGCAACTATGACCATAAAAGCATCCAGGGAGAGGTTAAAAAAAGATCAAATACACGTATACATGATATGTAACATTAGACCTCCCAATATCGTTAGAGCCTTCGGGCTGAAATGGAGTCACCACAAAAGCAAATTCTGGCCTTGCATGGTTTGAGAGTGCCATGAGACCTTCACTAATGGTATTTCTGGGAAGACTTGTTTTCTCTGTATACAACACTACAATGTTAACGCCACAAAACTTTATATAAATGTTTTATAACTGGATTTGGTCAGGTGGATTGAAATGGATCAAAACAAATAGTGAATGAAAAAAAGTAATCCACCCAAAGATCAAGTCCGTGTCGTCCAAGTCACCTCCAATGTCATTACCAATAAGCTATAACAATAGCATGGCTCATTTGATTATTTATCCGATGATTTAACATTTTGGCTAAGTCGTTGACGGGTCCGTGTTATGTTATATTTTGATAATATTCTTTCTCTGTTCTGAGCATACCATATCTCTGCTGCGGCCTCCTCAAATCTCCTCCGGCTGCAGACATAGATGATATACAGTCAAATCAAAACCTTACTTTCTACATGAAACTTTTAAATTTAATTAAATTTGACAACATGCCAACAATATTTTACATCCAATCTAGGACCATTTGCGAAGAAATCACGTGCATTGACATGCATAGTATCATATATTACCTGAATCTGATACGGCGAAGCTCCTTTGTTCCATCAGCTAATTGCTTGATTGTGATGTACACCCCAGGTTCATCATCTGCCTCCGTCCACTCTCTCTCCTGTTCTAGAAGCCTAATCGAAGACTCATCTGTAGAAGAGGTCATTGTCCCTGCGTCTTCTAATGATGACCCTGCGTGAAGGTTTTCACCACCACCTTCTTCATCCATAGCTTCAGAGGGGTTATAGCTCTACAAAAAAGAAAAATCATTTAGTAATGGCAAAAAAATGTTGTTTCCTCACTAATATCCGCACCGCAAAGGTTTTAGTGATAATATTATGCACTTCATCCGGTGAGAGTTTAAGGAGGAGGTCAAGGTGCCATCTTGTGCAGATGTCAGTGTTTAGGAAGAAGAATCTCTCTGCTGTTCAAAGCACATTGAAAAATCTTTAAAGTTTTACCTGTGCCGTCCATTCGTTGTTTTCCGTGACACTCGCTCTTTCACCAAGAGTATCACGGGCTAAGACATCAGCATTTGCTTCCAAATCTACGAAATTAGCCACTACTGGATTCTGGTGGACAGATTGAGTACTGTTGCCATCTCCATGTTGTGTGGTATGACGTGCATGCAATTGAAGCAGGAAATCAGAAATGGAACGGACGTTGATAAGCAAATAGCAGAACAATGCTGCGAGCAGACCTAACTTTAAGCTCATCTTCATCACAGTCACCAAGAAGCATCCAGCAAAGAAGTTAGACACCCCAACTTCGAATCCAACTCGGAGTTGTCTCGACAAGCTCAAAGCCATCCAGCTAAATGCCCCACATGAGATCGCGTCCATCATTTTCCCGTGCCCTTTTTCCACTTTCCCTTCTTCACTACGGTCTTCTAAAAACGACCACACAGAGGTAAGCGTTAAGACCACATAACCCACATGTGTTTTCAACAAGATGCTCCTTTCACGTTGCCCTCTGAATCGGTGAACGAAAAGCATCATGATACTGAAAAGTGAGCATACCATGCTGTAAATTACGATCTTCAGCGTGCTCCAATGTCCGAACAAATATTGGAATGAGGGGCTTAAGGCATAGCAGGTGAACCCGACAATGCTTGACCCGAATCCCGTGACCCTCCATAGCCAAGGATGGATTAGGAGTTGAAATATTGTGTTTCTGAAAGATTGGGTATTGGCCATTTTTGTAAGGAAGAACACTTCAAATTCAGGACAAGACGGAGAATTTAGAGAGAAAAATGAACTTTGATGTGCTTAATTTGGATGGAGAAAACGTAGGAACGGAATTAACGGTGTGAACAGACAGGAAAGTGGCTGAAGGATGTCTTTTTGACCAAATGACAAGAAATTGTTAGTACTGAGCATGACTATCAACCCAAATTACAGGTAGTGTTAAACTTTACCATTATTTATTAGTTACCATGAACTTCTCATTGTTTCTTTCCTTCTTTCTTTCTTTAAAAAAAAATAAAAATTATTACGTTTGTGTACAAATTTCAACAACGGAGACTTCCTTAGAAACTAAAATGATTTATAACTCTTTCGTTAGAAGTGCGTGCTGAGCTTATAAGGATAGTGAGAACCAATTGCCTTGCCATTGCGATGCAACTTGTGAGTTATCGATTTTAATAATGTTACACTCGGTTTTCAATAGCAGCAAATGAAATGACTGGAGGTGTTCAAGAAAGCATTTGGTAAAAGTTGATGATGAGCATTTCTGTGATGCATCATATTTCAGATTCTCATAGTTGCTTCTTGAAAATGTCCCCACCACTCACTTACCTACCTTCTAATGATGATAATATATTTAGTTATGTTTATTGTTGTCGATGACCACCAGAGGACTTGAAAGGCCCGTGTATTAGTACCAAACAGTATCTAAAAGGGTTATTGCACTTAGGGATGGCAAAACGGGTCAGCCCGCCCCGTTTTGGCCCGCCCCGCCTTTGGCCCGCCAAAAGCGAGGCGGGGCGGGCTGGCCCGATATAGTCATGACGAGCTGTAGACCTTAGCCGCCACGCCAAGGAGCGGGTTAGTGGCTAGCGGCTGGCCGTCATAATTTAGAAAAAATAAATTTTTTTAAAATAATTTTTTTTAATAAATTTAATAATAAGATTATTTGTTTGTCAATAATTCAATATATATATATATATATATATTATTTCAATTTAATAATATAAATCAATACATTATTTTAAGAAATTATAATTTAGAACAATAATAAAATTTACATAATAATAAATAATAACAAATATATATATATATATATATATATATAACGTTAAACTTATAAAATTTATATTTTTTATATTGAAAAATTCAAATACCTATATCTTTTTTATTTCATAAAACTTCATATTATTCTTGGTTGAGTAATTCTTACACCTTTAATTCAAGTAATAAGGATAAAAATAATCGGTCTTAGGATAAACAAGGAGAACGAGAAGAGAATGTTATGTTTTAGGAAGGAGAATATTTTACGTGAGAATGAAACTTTTTTAATTCTCTTTTTAAAATTTTTAACTTTATATATTATCTTTATAATTAATTTTATTACAATAAAAATTTATTTTTTTATTAATTAGGCGGGCCACGGGCTGGCCCGCCCAGTCCCGCGGGTTGGCCCGACGGGTTGGCGAGCTTGGCGGGGCGGGCCAAAGCGGGTCGGTGGCTCGAAAACACCAACCCGCCCCGCCATATTATGGCGGTCTGCGGCCGACCTGCCAGGCCTAGCCCGTTTTGCCATCCCTAGAACTATCATCTAATGCACTAGTGGACGATAAAACAATGAGAGAATATGAGAAAATGAAGATTGACAAGTTCAATGGAAGCGATTTCAAATTTTTGAAGATGTAGATTGAAAATTATCTTTATCAGAAAAAGTTGTATAGCATTTATCTGAAAATAAACCAAAAACAATGTCTCAGGCAGAGTGAGAGTTACTAAATCATAAGTTATGGGCATCGTCATATTAATATTGACAAAAAATGTTGTCTACAACATCATCAACGAGAAAACGATATATGGTTTGATAAAAGTATTATCAAACATGTACGAGAAGCCATCAACATCAAACAAGGTATTTTTGATTCGTCAATTAGTTAATACGAAGATGCGAGAATGTGCTTTTGTTACATATCATGTGAATGCATTTAGTTCCTTATTGTCAAGATTAATGTCAGTGGATATTAAATTTGATGATGAAGTACAAGTCTTGTGTATTGTTATCTTTGGTGCCTTATAGTTGGTCAGGATCTGTCATGACAGTAGCCAATATATTTGGGATTATAAAATTAACCTTTGAAGGAATTAGGGATTTAATCCTTAATAAGGATGTTCGTAGAAGGAACGATAAAGCCAAAGGTAGAGGTAAAAAGTCTAAAAGAGGGAAAGGCTTTGAATGTGGTAGATCAAGGTCCAATGAGCAAAGACAGTTCAAATCTCACAAGGATATTACTTGTTGGAATTGTCAGCAGAACATACACTTTAGGAACTAGTGTGCTCTCCTAAAGAAAAGAGCATGATAATACAATGAATGCAACAGAAGAAGACAGTGATGATACGTTGATCGGTTTTGTTGAGAGCAAGTTTGAATCGTGGATCATGGATTCTGGTACATCTTTCCATGCTTCTCCTTGCAAGGACTTGAAGAAAAATTTTAAAAGTGAAAACTTTAGCAAAGTACATCTAGCAGATAATGAAGCTTTAAACATCGCAGACATGAGAGATATCAATTTTAAAACATCTACTAATAGAGTATGAACTCTGAAAGATGTTAGATATATTCTAGGACTCAAGAGAATGTTAATATTTTTGTGTATGTTGGATGTTCAAGGATATCGAGTCATATTTGGAGAAGACCAATGGAAGGTGGTGAATGATAATCTATTTGTTGCTCGTGGTTGGTAGAAAGGATCCTTATACATGACAAAATTACCTACAGTAGAAGTAAATTCAATTAGTGATGATGTTGGTCATTCTTCGACTCTGTGACACCATAGGCTTGGTCACACGAGTGAGAAAGGTATGAAGATATTAATCTCAAAGGGGAAAATTTCAGAACTAGAAAGGTAGAAATTGGTTTTTAGGAACCATGTGTGTTTAGGAAACAGAAAAGATTTATTTTTACAAAGTCAAGGAGGATGTCGAAGGTAGAGAAGTTGAAACTTGTTTATATTGACGTGTTTTGACCAACATTAGTCTCATCATTGAGATGATCACGATATTATATCACCTTCATTGATGATTTCACTATAAAGTTATAGGTTTATTTTTTTGAAGCAAAAATCAGAAATATTTAATACCTTTAAGAGGTGGAAAATCATTGTTGAGAATGAGACAGAGTTAAAAATTAAATGTTTAAAGTCTGATAATGGTGGTGAATATAATAGTACTGAATTTGTTGATTATTGTGCTGAGAATGAAATTAGAATGCTTAAAATTATTCTTGAAATGCCTCAGCAGAATGATATTGCTTAAAGAATGAACAAGACCCTGAATGAGAAGGCAAAAAATATGAGAATTCATGCAGGATTACCGAAGATATTCTTAACAAAAATAGTGAGCACAACAACATACCTCATTAATCGATGATCCTCAGTTCCCATAGGATTTAAGATTCCTGAGAGAAAATGACAAGACAAGGATGTAAGTCTTTCTCATTTGAAAGTATTTAGTTGAACTTCTTATATTCGTGCTAAAGTTGTTAACAGGGACAAACTTGATCTAAAAGCAAGAAAGTGCATTTTTATTGGTTATGGAGCAGATGATATGGAATATTACTTCTGGGATGATCAGAACAAAAAGATCATTAGAAGTAAAGATGTTACATTTAATGAAAATGCAATGTATAAGGATAAACTTGAGACAAAAGCTGAAACTGAAAAGAAGTCAACAGAGAAGGAAAATATAGTGTTAGAGGACATTGCAGAAGACGATTTTACAGGAAAAGGTAAGAGCTTAGGAGACAGGAATGTTGAGGAGACTACTTTTGTCACCCTAGTAGTTGAAGTGAGGAGATCCAACAGAGTTATTAGGCCTCCTTACAAGTTTTCTCTTTCAACAAATTACTTGTTGTTGATTGACGATAGAGAAATTTTGTGTTATGATGAGGCATTGCAGATGGATGATGCAGCTCAGTGGGGGTTAGCCATGCAAAAGGAGATGAACTCACTTGAGAAAAATAAAACGTGGTGTTTGACTGACCTACCAACAAGAAAGAGGGTATTGTAGAACAAATGGGTATTTTAAGATCAAGGAAGAACATGATGACAACAAGAGATATAAGACAAGGTTAGTAGTGAAAGACTTTCAACAGAAAAAAGGTATTGACTATAATGATATTTTTTCTCCTGTAATTAAAATGACTACCATTAGACTTGTGTTGAGTATTGTGGTTGTAGAGGATTTATATCTAGATCAGTTAGATGTTAAGACAACATTCTTACATGATGACCTAGATGAGGACATCTATATGATGCAACCAGAGAGTTTCCAAGTTGTGGGGAAAGAGAACTTGGTTTGCAAGTTCATGAAGAATTTATACGGGTAGAAGCAAATATCTAGACAATGATACTTGAAGTTTGATAGTTTTATGAGTATGATAGGGTACAAGAAGTGTGTTATGGATTAGTGTTGTTATATGAAAAATTTTGGTTCATCCTATATCATATTATTATTATATGTTGATGACATGTTAGTTACAAGTTCTAACATAAATGAAATTAATAGATTGAAGACACAATTGTCTAAAGAGTTTGAGATGAAAGATTTAGATATTGCAAAACAAATTTTGGGTATGAATATCAGCAGGAACAAATTTGAAGGTTCCATAATAGTATCTCAAGAGAAGTATATTGAGAAAGTGTTAGAGAAATTTAATATGCAGGATGTCAAAATTGTAAGTACACCTTTGAGAGTTCACTTTAATCTCATTCAAAAGGAGTCACCTAAGACAAATGAAGACAAGACAACATTGACTAAGGTTCCTTATGCATCTGGTAGCTTAATGTATATAATGGTATGCACTAGACCAGACATTTCTCATGCAATAAGAGTTGTTAGTATATTCATGTCTAATCTAGGAAGGAAGCATTGTGAAGTTGTCAAGTGGTTGTTATCTTGAAAGGTACTTCTAAAATTGCATTATGTTTTAGAAGAAATGATGTCAATTTGGAAGGATATTCCGATGTAAATTTGGGAGGTTGTTTAGAAGGAAGAGTACTTCAAGATTTGTCTTCATAATAGGTGGTATAATAATTAGTTGGATGTCTCGGCTTCAAAAAAGCGTTGCACTTTCAACCATAGAAGTATATTACATGATTATTTCGAAATTCATTAAGAAAATGATTTAGTTGAAGAATTTTCTTAAGGAACTAGGTAAGAACGAGTGTGACAATGTTCTTTAGCAATAGTTTGAGTGTCATTCATCTTGTAAAGAATCATGTTTTTCATATAAAAATAAAACACATTCAGTTGACGTATCACTTCATTAGAAAACTAATAAATGATGATACTTTGTTTTTAGAGAAGATCCTTAGGTCAAAGTTGACGTAACACTTCATTAGAAAATTAATAAATGATGATACTTTATTTTTGGAGAAGATCCTTAGGTCAGAAAATCCTGCAGGTTGACCAAGCTGAGAAGTTGAAGTTTCTGAAATTGTGCATAACTTCAACTGGCCTTCCTTCATGGTTAATGGTTGAAAAGGCATTGCACTAGTTTGAGGTTACTATAATTTTGATATTTACTAAATTTATTTTGGAGTGTGCTTGATGTGATTAGCATCCAAGTGAAAGATTATTAAGTATATGGAATATGAAGGGTTATTGGGCTTGACCCATTTACTTATTCTTTTATTATAAATACTTATGCAATTGTAAACCTAATTTAATGAATGAAAATTATCATCTAGGATAACCATGCACGTAAGTTACTTTGATTGAATCACAAAATTCCTTATTATAAATACTCATGTAAATGTAAAAGAATGAGAACTATTATCTAGTGTAGTCTTATTATAAATATATATGTAATTGTAAACCTAATTTAGTGAATGAGAACTATCATCTTGTATTTTTCCTATTTACTTTGGTCTTATATTATATTTGTACTTCCAATTACTAATATCAAAAGTTTAAATTTTTTTCATTCAAATAGATGCAAGAAGACAAAAAAATAAAAATTGACAAGTTTGATGAAAACCATTTCAAATTTTGGAAGATGTAGATTGAAACTTACCTGACATGATTTTATTATTATTATTATTTATTAAAATTTAAATAAGGAAAGTTAATTGAAAAATAATATAAGTCTCCTCACATCATTCATAAATAATTTATCATTAATTTTATTTTATTTAATTTTTTAATAAACTTTAATTTACCATATTACATAAAATTTATTTTACTAATATTTTATTTAAATATCTTAATAAATACTCTTATTATATCAGTTCTTTTAATAATTGAGTAAGGCATCATTTTCCGCCTCGTTTTCTATAGATCCGCAACATTACCATCTGGGCCAACTCTTCTACGTTCAACTTTTGCCCTCCCCACAAGTCAACCATTATAAGGGGGACTTGTCTTTAAAAAATGTATATATATATATAAATTATAAATAAAATATATGTTAAAATTTCTCTTTTATTGTTTTATTATTCTTTTATATATAAAATAAAAATATAATGATATATTCATAATATTTTAATCTTAATTACTTAACATATTATTTCTGTCAACAATCAATTAAGTTATAAAGTTAAAATAAATTAAGATTAGAATCAAACTTTATTAAAATCATTTATTAATAATTAGGAATAAATAGGTTATAAAATATTGTTTCAATGTATATGAAATAAATTAAAATTAGGATCAAGCTTTATTTTTAATATATAATATTTGAATGCTTGATTTTTCCTTTTTAGTTTGCATTTTGATATTATAAATTGTTAATTAAATGTTACTAAATTAATTTAGAAATTATCATTGATTATTATTAATTATGACTTATTCATTCATTAGCAAACACCTCAAGCATTTAGTACTTATTTTGAAAAATCTCATCACTTTTTGTTCCATCACAATAAATGGTGATACACATTCATCTACCCTACTACTAGCTGCAAAAGGTGACCCTAGTGTTTTTATTCCCAATAATACAACGAAAAGAAAATCAAATACTAGATGTAAACAAATATCTTCTATTGTTTGGGCATTACCTACATTTAATAACTTTTAATTAGTCTGGTAAAATATTTGGATGTGATCCAAATTTAATGTGTAAGTTATAATTAGTCTGGTAAAATGTTTAAATGTGATTCACAGACAAAGGATGCATCCAACCTACTTAATCACTTAAAAAAATTATATCTTAAATATCCATTTGCTATAATTTATGACCCCAAGCAAATAACTCTCACCTTTAAAAATGGTAAGAATAATGATCACTAGTCAAAAGTATATAACCTTCAAGCTTGTTGAAAGACATTTACTATCTTAGTCCCAACTGGTTGTTGTGTTATGGGAATGAAGTATCATAAGTATTGGGTAATATTGATAACCTCAATCACTAGATGTATTTTGGTGTTATTTTTTAATAAATTTGAGTATGTGATTTGGATTTTTCAAGAAATGTAAAAAATGATTCAAATAAAGTTATTGATTTAACTAAAGTCTGCAGAAGAAAGTTTGAAAAAAATTGTATGATTGGTAGAAATCAACAGATGATGGGCATCAACATATACCTAAGTAGCCACATGTTGGTCTACAGACTTTGTTCCTCAATTTGAAATACCAACCTTCCTACAAAATAACAAGAAAATTATAACAAAAAAAATGTCCTCAAACCAAACATCGTTACATATCCCGTGCTTTTTTTTTTTGGAACCGAGACGCCCTCAACCTTTCTTGTCACAAAAGTAGAAGAGACTACTATCTATAGCAGTAAAAAATCCAACGTGGAGCCACAATGCACCTGACAGACAATTTGGCCATTGCAGCAAATGTGTAGAGATTGCATATAGTGGAAAGGATCAATACAGGGCAGGCTAATATCAAATTCCCTTAACTTTATCAAAGTAACTGTTACTGTACAGTCATGTTTAAGTGGCAGCACAAATGTTTCATCCACTCGGAAAAATCAATTATCGTCTGAACCAAAAATTTGCTCCTTGAGCTCATCTATTTTAGAAGACAGCTCATCTCTATTTTGCTGCACGTTAACAAATTTAATTAAACTGGGAATAACCAAGATGCACAAATCAACCAAGGTTGATGAAATTAGTTAAGTACCTTGAAAAGCAGAAAACGGGAAGTAAACCATACTGCATATGCGAGCCCTATGACTTCCAGCAACTTGGGAAACTTTACCATAATAATGAACAAAAAATAATGTCAGCATTCAATAGAGTTGGCTTTGGGTTTGAAAATTTTACATGAACATTATACACACCAATGGGATAGAATCAATTGCACCAATAACGGCTGATGTTAGCCACAGAGCCGCCGAGACGCCACCTCCATACAAGGCAAGGGAAACGGCGTCATTTGAGTCAAACTGTAAAAGAAAAAAAAAGGGAAGGCAGGTTAGATTTAAAAAACACAGCAAAACCAGGTCTTCTTAATTTTAATGGTAAATCAGTCATGCAGAGCAAACATAGACAGCAAGAATTACAGTCAATCTTTTCATAAGTGGTAAAAGAAAGCAATCAGTTTTCACAAGCACCAGACAGTAATGGTGTCATCACAAAATCAAATCATATATGAAACAATTTAATGATGTTATATAGTTGATTTCAAAGCAACATCCAAACACTTTAGTAAAGAAAATGAAGAAACCCACACGTTGATGGTTCCTTCAGACAAATAATTTCCTCAGTAGTTTTAAGGTTTGGATGCCAATTCCATATGTAATAATAATATTTGAACCAATAACAAGGATAGTAGATAAAATACAATATAAACGAAACTGACTCTTAATAGCAGGAAAAACACAATACCCAAAGAGCAAAACATTTGCCAATACAGGATTTTGTTACGCAAACAGAATATTATAAGGCTGGATAAAAAGAGTAAAAAAAGGTATTATTGGAAAGGATTAATCATTAACCTAACTACCAAGAAACGGATCATTGAAAATTAAAACGTGGTGTACCTTGCCAAGACAAAATATGAGGTTTGCGACACAGTGAACAAGGAGGAAAGAGCAACAATTCATAAAACATTAAAAAGGTTTGTGTGCGGTTAAGACTGTAACTCAAATGTTGTCAGAGCAATCACAATGAGTGATGTACAGTATAAACCAATTACAGGACACTAGCCATGGTACAAATTTGGATAGTAGAAATGCCAATAATCTTTAATCAGAAATTTAAGTATAATGTAAATCAACAAAAAATTATTAGTCTGACATTAAAAAATACTTAAGGGAAGTTGCAACATTAAAACTAAAGATGAGTCAGTGGTTATAAGATTAAATAAAGAAACACACCTGAAAAAAAAAAATCAAGCTTTTGGCTAAAACACAGACAGAATTGCACAGAAAGTGCGAAAACTATATACAATTTTACAAAAAACAAAAATGTATATGTATGTGTAATGGAGTTGCTCAGGTAACCGCTCAGGTTCGACAAGATTGCCGAATTATCATCAAGCACTCAATAAATGCCATCAATAAACTGGAATGTCATCATAGCAACTCCACATTTGAAACAGAAACAAATCTAAACCAGCAGGTGGAAGGGAACACGTGCCCTGAACCACCAAATTCATTATTCATAGTACACAGAGTCCATCAAATCAATAAACCGGTTGTCATATAACAACTCAATATCTGAAATGCAAACAAATTAAACAAGCATGGGAAATAAAACATGCGCTTTGAACTGCCAAATTCATAGCCAATACCCTGGTCAATATATACACTAAAAATGTAATAAAAGCTTAATAGGAAAGGTGGCTAAAATGACCCTTACATTGAGCTTATCCAGCAAATCAAAAGACAAACCCTGTCCTTCATCAGGTAACTCCTTTGTGTCTTCCGTTTTTTCAAACTCATTCTTATCTTCTGCTTTAACATCCTCTAGGGCTATTACACCATCGCGTTTCTCATTGAAAAATTGGCTTGCCCCACTGGATCTTTCGTCAGAGGGTGTAGCCCTAGGCAACAAATTTCTCAAGCAAATCGATCCTGCCACGTCAGAAAACCAAACAGCTCCAAAAAGTCACAAATATGCAGTGTCAATAGTACAGCCAAATCACACCACTGGCTCCACAAAAGTGACACAAATAACGCCATACAATGCAAGAAAGCAACAATTTAATCATAAATGAAACAGAACTATCAAAGAAAACAGCAGGAAGGCAGAATCGTAGGTTTTGGCTCAGATTGAATAAGAAAATTTAAAGGGATGGGAATCCTACGAGATAAAAGTGAGGCTGTGGGAGTGAGACGGAATAGTCTGTGAGAAGGAGAGAGCTTATGGAGAGAAGGGGAAGCGTTAGGAAGCTTCGAGAAAGGGATAGGCTGAACTGTACAGATCCTCATTGTTGTTATTCTGAATTGAAGAATGAGACGAAATTTTAGGGTTTATATACAAAAAGTGTTGTCTCTAGGGTTTTCGGTTTTCACTCTTTTCATTCTCTGTTTCTTTTTTCTATTTTGTTATTTTATTTTATTTAGTATAATTATGTTTTCACTCTTGCAAGTAATTTCAAATAACTTGATTAAATATTTCAAAATTTACAAAATCTGGGAACGGTTAAATGAAAATAATCCATTCTCTCTTGCAAAGAAAACTACTTCTCTGATCGTTCTTTATTATTAACTATCTCTTTAGTCTTTCAATTTAGGTTGATTTCCCCTTTTAGTCCATCATTAAAAAATATTTAACAGACATGGTTTGGTTTCCCGTAAATTTTGTTCTATTTTAAGATAGTTAAGTGATGATGGGATATTTATATTCTTATTAGTAAGTTTGTGCAATACTGGTTTAATATGATAGTCAAGTAATAAAACATTTTAAAATAATTTAACTACTTTAAATAGTTGAAAATCTATAGATTAATCTGTAATTTTAGTCGCCCTTTAATTTATAGTTTGTTATTTTAGTTATTCTATTTTTTCACGTTTTAGAAAATTCGTAATCATAATATACTTTTTAATTTACGTATATTAAATTTTTACTGCTTACATTTGAATTAAATAAATTGTTTATTGATAGTGTATAAAGTTCAAATAGACAAAATGGCATATCAAACTCTTAAATTGTAAATGATTGATTGTAACTTAGTATAGAAATGGTTCCTCGTTTTATCTCAATTAAAGTTTCCATTTATAAACCTTCAAAAAAAAAAAATAAACTAGTCTTTCTCTACAAAGATTGTTTGTGCTTTTAATTCTATGTTAACTAAAATTAATTTTTAATTATCTATATCAATATATAAAATTAACTCTTTGGAGAAATATATATATATATATATATATATATATATATATATATTCTATTTTTTCTATTTTTTTAATAATAAGTTTTTCAATATTTCTCTTGAACATAAAATTATATTTTTTGTTAATTTTCAATTACATATTTTCTTTAATTTTTAAAAATTCTGTCTCACGAATAATTCATACACGGCATCAGCTAGTAATATATAAGCGATATTCCTCTTTCTTATTATTTTAGTGTAAAAGAGTTTTTAGATAAATTTTATCTTCTAAAACATGATTGTTAGATAGTTTAGAATTTTCCTAGATACCTTAAAAGATGAATTTTTGAACCAATAATACAGTTTTTTTTTAGAATATATATATTGTTTTTTATAAGAAAGTAACAGATATATTTAAAAAATCATGTTGTTTTCTGAAACAAAAAATATAATAAATTGTCCTTAATTAATTAACAACAACACTGGAAGTTATTAAAAATGAAATGATATTGACAATATATTCATAATTGAAGATTTCTTATTTAGAAAAGAATTAAGTATAATTCACATTTATCTTCTAAGGAATAAAGATATATATATATATATATATATATATATATATATATATATATATATATATATATATATATATATATATAATTGAAAAGATTTACTAAATGTTTTTATCGTTCAATATTTTTTATTAGATTGCTATTTTTTAAAATTCAGAATAATTTTTTATATTAAATATTATATATATATATATATATAAACTTAAAATTCATATAAAAACTTTTATGTCTCATTTATATAAATCAAAATTAATTGAATATATATTTTTCAAAATAAAATAGAATATGAATCATTTAATTATATGATTGTTATTATTCAATTTAAAAAATTTGAGATAAATAGATTTAATTTACTTATTATATGAAGGTTTAGTTTAATTCAACTTTAATCAAATTTAAATTTTGTGAGCATAACTTTGTTTAAAAACTAGTTTGAATCTAAAATCAAATTTGGTTTTTTATACGTGCCTTAATATTAAAATCAATTCAATGTATATGTTTGATTTAAATTTGATTTGGTTAGACCCAAAACCGAAAGTTATATCCCATAAGCCCATTAAAAGGCCCACACTTTATGGTTTGGACAAAAGATCAGCAATAGGAGGGTAATTTAAAACTCGGTTAGGCCCAACTCAATCCGTTTGTAAGGAACTATTGTCAAATTTAAAGGTTACTCTACAATGATAAATTAATTCCTTGAAACCCTGGTTTCTCTGTTCCATGAAGAAGGGTTAAAAACAAAATCCATCACACAAAAGTTACTCAAATTCCTAGTATATGATAGGACAAAAATTCAAATAAAAATGACCGTTTTATGTTTAATGTGTAATTTGGAAAAATAAATGTACTTAAAAAATAATATTATTTAATGTCTTTTACTTTTGTCACAATAATATTTGTGCGAAAATTGAAGTTGAATTTTCAAAGATTTTAACTTCAAAGAAAAATATTTCCCATTTATTTATAATCATAGAAAAAAATATATATTGATAACTTTTTTTTCAAAGTTACTTAAAATCGTTATTTTTTTTACAATATTTAGAATTTTTTGTATGATATTATAATTAAAAAAAAAAACATAAACGAGCGTACTAAAAAAATGCTAGTTTTATCATAAAAAAACTGTGACATGTATAAAAACTCTCAATCGTTTATATATAAAAAAATAGAAATAAAATATAATAAAAAAATAAGATGTTATTTTATAGTTTTCACTTACAACAATGTCCCTTTCTATATTAAATAGATTTTTTTTTTATTTCTATCCCCTTGAAATAATATATATTCGGAAGAATAAATAAATAATAATTTGACTTCTTTTTAATTTAGAAACTTTATTTTATAATTTATAATTTATTTACTTTATTTTATAATTTATATTTTATTTACTTTTTTTAACCATTGATCATTTCATATAAATTAATAAATTTAATTTTTTTTTAAAGTTAGTGTTTGAATTGAGGAATAAATTTGAAAAAGTGAAAAAATTAGTCTAGAAAGTAAAATTGTTTGAATTAATTCAAAGACAATGGTAAATAAGTAGAATAATGATAAAGATAAAATTGATTTAATTAATTAAAAAAATAATAAGATAAAATGATAAATCATCAAAAATATCTTTTGATGATTTTAATAAAAATAAATATAAATTACCAGATAAACATAATTTAATATGAAATGATTACTTAATAAAATGAATAAAAATAAAAACATAGTTAATTTATATATAAATTATAAATAAATATTAATATAATAAATAAGTTAATTATTATTATATTATTATTTTTTAAATGATTAAATATATATTCTTTATTTTTTATAAATTGTTTTTATATAATATTATATACACTTACTTAATACTTTATTAAAAATTATTTTTAGCATAAAATATTCTAATTAAAAAATTTAATTTGAAATTTAATATTCATTTAAAATTATATAAATTATATATTTTCAATAATATATAAATTCATATGTTAAAATTAAATTATTTTAAAAATTTATATTAATTAACATATTATTTAATTAGATAATCGATTAAGAAAAAAAACTATACTATGTTTTTATAATAAATTAAAAGTATATTTTAAATAAAAAATGTTATTAATGAATAATGATAAAATAAAATATGAATTATTAAACATATTAACTTTTTTAATAATTTTTAAATTATGTTATTGATAAAAAAATGTTTTCTTTAAATTTTATATAATAGATTAAATTTTTATAAGAAATAAAATGTTATGTAAGATAATTTTTATCATTGTTTTAAGAATAAATTAATTTTAACTAAAAATAATAATTTATTTTTTATAAAAAATTATCAAAATAAATTTAATATAAAATCATTGTAAATATTTATAGTTTGATAATATATGTAAGATGAAAAAAATATTTATGTATAATTTATTAAAATATTTATATAATAATTAGACCTGTAATTAATTATATAATCTTTTATTTGATTAAGTTGTGTCTTGACCTGATGAATTATATAAAGATATATAATTAATTATGTAAGGAAAAGAGTGACTTATATGATTTTTCAATCTTTTCGGAAAATGACTTTTATTATAGACCTCAATGATTTTTCAGTCTTATCAGCTTAAAACCAATACAATGTATTCGCATAAATCAACTGTATTATTTTTTCATTAAGAATGAATCAATTGAAACAAGCACTTGTTAAGATGTACTTTTAAATTGTGGGAAGACATTAATAAAATTCCGAACTTTAAATTCATTTTTTATCTCTTAGATCATTGGCTAAAACACATTTGAAATATGTTTTTTTTTTCTTCTATTTGTAAATCATGCTTAGGTGAATAGTAAACTCCATGACGACACATGGTTTTGAGTTAATCGAATTGAATCCCAACATCTTCATTTATCCTTTGTCCTTACAAGTTACTACTGCATCTTGAACTTTGTTTCCCAATAGTGGGACACTACAAAATTGTTGTCCTTACAAAATTGCTAATACCAAGACAAAAACCTCATCATTTTCACTAAGAACTCTAGGCAACTCATATTTCAAGAAGGCTACTCATTTTTCTTTTATTCAAACCAGTCAGACTCCTAGAGCGGGAACTTCTAACTCAACTCTTTGTTTAGGTGAATTATGTGTGTGGTCTCTGAAAACCAAACTCATGATCAATCACTGATGTTACAACATGAAAAAGGTTGCTCTCATTCAAGGACAAAATTTCATCATTATTTCCCTTCAAAATGATCATGCGTTGGGTCTTTGACCGTGGATTTCATGTACCTTAAGTTCATTTAGAAGGGGAATCTTAACACAAGAAAATAACGTTGCAACAGAAATGATTGCTTATACAAACAAACAACTCAAGTGCCCAGAAGAGCATATGATAAAGCCTTCTTTTATTTAGCATCTAGATGCCTTAACAAATGTACCAGTTGATTTGAATTTCTTAACTCATTAAATCACAACATAAAGGTATCCAACTAAGTTACTTCACATATTCCATCTTTACTCTAATCTAACATTCTAATACATGTAGCAGAAGATATTCATATTATACCTTGGTTTGGATGCCAGATTACAAAAAGCAACTAGTTCTGTAAAACATCTTTCTATTTCAGAAATGGTAAAGCCACAAGGGAACACGAGGCAACATTCATATGCTTCGCCACACAGATTCCATTGTTTCTTCCAATTATGGATTTGTAATGGCTTATGTTCCTTCCACTTTCAATAACAAGGTTTCATTCTGGATTTGATTTGAGAAGGAAGTGCTCTCATGGCAACTTATCTTCTAGACAAAACAAAGTATATCAATAAAGAATTACTACCATGTTTCATGAATCTATGAGGAACATATTATTTTGATAGTGTACTAAATAATTAAAAAAATATATAATCAAACTTAATTAATAGGTAAAAAAAAAATCACCACTTGATGTTTAAGAATAAAAAATTCTTTGTAAGGATTCAGAGAAAATTTCCCTTACAAATCATAAATTCTAAATTAATGTATTCTTAAATCAACAAAAATATATTTATATAATAAATTTAAGATTATTATGTCCATTCAAGCTCTTCCAACAAACCATCATATAATATTTTAATACAAAATCTAATTAAAAAAATATAGAAACAAATAAAAATATAAGATTATATCATTCTTATTTATAACATGAACTTCTTTTTTGTCTTTTATCATACTTTTATCCCTGCATTGCAAAAAAATTCAAATTTCGTGTCTCAATTTGTGTCATATTCTAATTCACCAATAAAAAAATTGACAAAAAAATCAAGTTTTTATTATATGAAATGGATAATTTGTCTATAATGATTTTTTTTTAATTCACATGTCATTATTTATTGGTGTACACGCTGAAATATGATAATGGTCTATTCACATTGATATATCTTTCTCGAGGTTACTAGTGACCTTTTTATGTATTGTCGTTCATCATAACAGGACACGCTTGACTTCAGGTAGTGCCAATGTTTCTAGATAAAGTGTTTCAACCTCATGTCCGCTATGGTAGCCAATGTTCCTAAAAATAGTGTCTTGACCTCATATCCGATAATAACATTGTTAGGACCTCATGTAGTATCAATGTTTTTAGGCAAAATGTCTTGGCCTCATGTCCATTGTAATAATAATATTGTTAGATCAATTCCCATATGTCCGATGTATTATCCGTTTTAAGATTTCGTCCATCACAATTTTATTCTTAAAAAACAGTTAAATAGGTTAAGAAAGAATGATGTATATAAACTATTTTTAGTTTCTACTCTTTAAAAAAATGTAAGACTGATGAAGATATTGAAAAAGATGTATTAACACGGTGAACATCCATTTATATCTAACAACCATATAGAAACTCTTTCATTTAGTTTTTCTAAACCTTTTATTTTGAAGCAATAGGTAAGTAATTTAATTTATGTAAAAAATATTTTTTTTTTCTCTACTTAAAAAACATGGTCCACACAAAACCCAGCTACATGCACTAAGAGGGGTGAACTTTCATAATTCTCTAACAACCATAAATGAATTAAAATGAACAGAGCACGTGATTTGGTATGCATTCTAAAGTGTCCCATATGGGGAATTTTTGGGAGACAACCCCATAGGAATCCCAATAGAAGAGCATGAAAAGGTATATTTATCTTATGAGAGAAAGGGCAAAGGGAGCATTTCTAGGAGAAGAAAAAGGGCTAGGAATTTGTGTTGCTAAACTTTGAAAGTAATCTTTAGGAAAGATTTAATTAAAGTAACAAAAATCGGTTTTATATTGTATCACTTACCAATTGCCACAAATTTGGGTTCAATTAAAAATTCACTTTAAAATCCTTCCAATTAATAAGGAAATTATTTCATTGAATCATTTGAATAATGAGAGGTTTTGGAAGAAAACCAATTTTATCATGGCACCTATTTTTTAGATATTTAAAATTTTGGGCAGAATAAATTGATTAACCGAGTTATAACCTTATAGTTTGAAACAAAATTGAAAACATTGAGCTTTTCCTTTACCAGTTAATAGAAAATAGAATTCGTAGTTTTTTTTGTTTAAAAAGAAGAAGTTTTGTTTGGTGGAATTTGTTTGAGGCATGGTACATTTCGTCATGGGATAGTGTATAAAAATGATTCAATGTTATGTTTTCTTTACTTTTGCTAAGAACAATATACTATATGGTAGTAGCGTATATATAAGGGTAACGTCTCACTTAAGAGAAATGCATTTAGTTTTATTCAGGCTTAGTTTAAAGGAAGAATGTGATAAAGTTAATTTAGTTAAACTTAACTATTTGTATTTGTATTCTTTCTTGAGAAAGAATAAGAAAAATTCCAAACTCAATTTATAATTTTAATAAATAATATATATATATATATATATATATATATATATATATATATATATATATATATATAAAGATGACCTAAATGTACTTATAAGAGAATTTTTATAATTATTATTTTAGATTTTTTTTATGTTTGATTAAGTTCTGATATTAATAAAAGACGTAAAAATGTACATTAAAATAATTAATTGAGATAATTTTACATTAAATACTTAATAATTTAATGTAAATTTATATTGATTATGCATAACATAAAATTCATGTTAGAAAAAAGAAAGAAAGTGAAGGAATATTGGGAGTGGATATAGATATATAAGTTCAAAATAAATTTAGACTTAACCTAATATGATTCAATAAATAAGTTAAAATTAAATATTAATCTAAGAATTTGAATTGAATTAATCAATCAAGAAAACCTTTCACATCAAACAACATTTTGAATTTGACACAAATATATTTTTTAACATTCTTTTTATCCTTTCTAGAACCTTATGAATTTGTGTAATAACACCATCTCTTCATTATCGTCTTTTTTTGTCATTGTTATCATCATACTCATAGTACCTATTACTGTTATGTAAAAGATATTTGAAAGTGTGCTTGAGGTCTGAAAGATGAGAATTCTCGGTATAATTTAGTTCGGTGTAGTACTAAAAAATTACCCAAATCAAATATTAAATTTAGATATGACTTGAGATGATTTAGTTTGTATTAATGTTAATGAAAATCAAATTAAATCAAGCTAATATCTTTTTGTCAATTTTTTATTTTAAAAATATTATATATATATATATACATATATATATATATATTATAAAAACATATTTATTTTAATAAAATAGATATTATAAAGACATCATGATTAATTATGATATTTATAATTTTAATTGAGTTTTATATAATTTTATATTGAATTTAAAAATAAAAATATGTCTTAAATTATAATAAATCAATTTATTTTAAATAAGTATCGTTTTAATTTAATTACATATATTATAATTAATTTTTAAAAAGTTTAATCAATAAAAAAGATGATTTTGATTGATTTTATTTTTTATTAATTTAATTTTAAATACTTAAACAAATTATTTTAAAAGTGAAAAGAATGAAGAAAATACATAAAAGTGAAAGTCAGTACAAAATCCAAAGAAACTATTGTGCAAAGAACATTTGAAATTTATTATAAGAAATAAATAAAAGAAGTAATTAGGTAGAGAAAAAAAAACAATTCAATAATAATGTTTATAATCATGTGTATTAATTAGTGGAACTTATATATATTTTGTTTTAATTTTTAAAATAAATAATATAAAAAAATGGTGCATTACTTTCATTCACATTCTTTAATTTAAAACTATTTTTTGAGATAAAAAAATAAAAGAAAAAACTTTTTAAGCGCAAAATACATCTATTATATTAAAATCATGAATTTTTTTATTTCACTTATTTATTTATTTTTACATATTTAACTGATATGCTTAACTAAATTGCACTTATTGACACCACTTAATTACTAACTATTTTTTTATTATATTTTTTATTCATAAAATTTAAAACTAAAATATTATTTAAAGGGACTAACTCCAATATCACTCATAGAGAATAATTTGTTTGTAAAAATTACTTTTATTTTAAAATAATATTAATAATAATGAAAATTTTAACTTATTTTTATCATTTAAGTAATATACAAATAAAATAATTCAAATTAGCATCCGGTCAATTATTTTTAAAATAATTATCAAAAACATTTTAAGGAAGGAATTAAAGCGTATTTATGTTAGTAAGAAAATATGAAAAAAAATTAAATTTTGCTAGTATTATGTATTTAAGAAAATTTATTTGTACTTCTTTAATTCCGAAATTAGAAAAAAAAGTCAAACTACTTCAATTTATTACTTATTAAACAAATTAAAAAAATTAAAAATTTCAACCATTTCCTCTTATATTTTAAAACCATTTTAAACAAAACCCTAAATTACAACAACTTATTTGAAAATTGAAGCAAAACAGTTCGGTTTAAAAATAAGACAATTAAATAGATTTATATAAAATATAATAAAAATCAAATCTATTAGTTATAAAATTTAAGAGAGAATATAGTATAAAATAAAATCAATTATAATATATTCAATGAGTTAAAATAGGTAAAAATAGTGGAAACTAGCTTAGAGGCCTTGAATAGGTTTATGTAATGTAATAAAAACCCAATGATACTGAAAATTTGTATTATGTCAAAAACACGTCAATCACAATTATTTTAAAAAAATAAACAAAACTTACGAACATATTAAATAATTTAAATTTTGAAAAAATAATATTAAATCTAAAAAATTTATTTATCCTTAAATTTTAAAAAAATATTATATTAGAAGATGCTGGAGAAGGTAATAACGTAAAACATTAGATCTTAAATAAAACTCTTAAATTTAAAAATTAATAATTAAAATAACTTTTTATATTATAAAATATTAAAATATAAATATATGGATCTTCTGATACTTTATATTAAAATAAAACTTGAAAAATCTTAAAAAATAAGACAAAATGGGACTTACATGAACAAACATGTTTAATCCTAATATTTGGTTTTCCCATCCATGTTTTTGATGGTATTTTATTTTCTCCTTCGTGACAAAATTACACTCTATTTGAGTATTTTGCATCAACCATAACATATGACTATGACCATATCATAAAATCTTATTTTATTTTTCTTTGTTTTCGGGTTTTGGTATCCATGGACACGACACCACCAATTCCGTTTTCCCTTCTCTCTTGCCCCATCTCTCTTTCTCTTTCCCTAAAAACACAACCCGCTTCCTACATAAAGCTGGTTCCTTTCCTCGCTCTCCCACTCCATTCTTCACTCTACACTTCCATGCTCCAACACTGTCACACAGGGTTTTCTATCTCATCTCAAATGCCCTAAGGAGTTGTTTTGTTCCCTTAGCTCCACCCCACCCCTTTTGATGACGCGCTTCTGTCCTAGGACAACCGTTTCTGGATCAATGGTTCACAACTCAGACAGTGCCAAGTCTAATCTTCTCTGTTCAGAGAACAGTAGCACCTGCTTCGATGATGATTTGGAATACGATGGTGCAGATGGGCCTAGAATCTCGCATTTCTGGGATTACAGGAACCTTTACTCTGGACATGAGGGTGGTGGTAGATCAGAGGCATTAGCATGTATTGTGGCGCAGAGTGAGGAAGCTGTCAGGGCTATGGTGGAGAGAGAGAGGGAGCATTTTCCGAAGGTTGATTACTTGCAGAGGCTGAGGAGTGGGAAGTTGGACTTGGGTGTTAGGAGGGAAGCACTTGATTGGATTTGGAAGGTAACTTACTGGTTTTTTCATTCAATGGGCATGGAAAAATAAACCATTTAATGAGGCTTTTACTTGTTTGTTGATTTGTGTGGATTCTTGCCTTGGTGGGTTGGGTGTTTTTAATGGGATTTGAGTCATATAGAAAGAGTTGTTTTTTTTAATCTGATTTCTTTTGCCCTCTAGTACCAGTTTTTATGAAAGGTTGGCTGGGCTTTCTAGTTTAATCTCAATTGACTTTTGCTAAAGAAAAAAAAAAACATGAAAAGAAATAGTTTTCGTCTTTAATTTTTGAACTTTCAAGTTGTTAATTTAATAGTAGGTAGGTGTTATTGCCAATTCTTAAGTTGTTGAAGTTCTTCAGTTGATGTAAGTTTTCCCTTTTCTTTTAAAATTGAATTCTGTTTCATACTGGTTGAAACTGTGTGATGAATGTCGCAAATAGTAATCTTGTTTTATTTCATTGAATTAATTGTCTTAGTGACTGCCTTTTTTTTTATAACGTGATCAACAGACTCACGCTTATTTTGGCCTTGGACCCTTGAGTTTTTGTTTAGCTGTGAACTACTTGGATCGCTTCCTGTCGGTTTTCGACTTACCGGTACATCACATTGCCTGAAAGTTTAGGGGTGTGTTTTACTAGGTTTATTTTACTTCTCTAATTGGTGCTTTTTGCCTCTTCTCTTGGTATGTTTAGAAAGGTGTAAGTTGGACTGTGCAGTTGTTAGCTGTAGCTTGTTTGTCAATTGCAGCTAAAATGGACGAGATTAGAGTGCCTCAATCTGTAGATTTACAGGTATACTAGAATCTTGCAATCTTGTAAGATAATTTTAAATGTGATTTTGTTATGTATATTATTACCCTCTAATTTTCTCATTGATATTGATAATGGGCAGGTTGGGGAGCCAAAGTTTGTGTTTGAAGCTAAAACCATTCAAAAAATGGAACTACTGGTTTTAAGCAAATTGAGATGGAAAATGTGTGCATTAACTCCTTTTTCCTTCATAGACTACTTTCTTTGCAAGATCACTTGCGAGCAGCACCCAGCAAAATCATACATTGCAATATCAGTGCAGCTCATCCTCAGTATAATCAGAGGTATTCTCATTACTGTGTTTGAATATTTGATCCTTCTGTACCCTGTTTTCTTTGAGGTGTAATGAGTTTGAAAAGTGCTTTTGGGAAACAATTGTAGGTATTGACTTCTTGGAATTCCGGGCTTCTGAAATTGCTGCCGCAGTGGCAGTTTCTGTTTTAGGAGAATCACAAGCAAAAGATATCGATAAGGCCATTGCTGATCTCTTTATAGTAGAGAAGGTGAGGTTGTTACTCCCACATAGAGCATGCAGGGACGAGTTTGCTTTCATCTTGGTGAATTGGTAATGGTGTTTAAGATTATCATAACGAACTGTTCTGACTCGTGTTATGCAATTTTCTTTCATTTTGCAGGGTAGAGTTCTAAAGTGTGTTGAATTGATAAGAGATTTGTTCTTGAACAACGTTGCCGCTAGCAGCAAGGTGCCACAGTTGCCCCAAAGTCCTATTGGGGTGCTGCTGGATGCTGGGTGCTTAAGTTATAAGAGTGATGAATTAACAGTTGGATCATGTCTAAATTCCTCACATGATAGTCCAAATCCAATCACTAAGAGTAGCAAACCAGATGGACCTTCTAATGGAACCTCCAAGTGATGAAATGTGAATTTTCTTCCTTCACCAAATTTTCATGTAGTTTGGTTGAATTGGAGTTTGGTGTGGTCTTGGAATTCCTTGGGAACATTCTCACCAAGAGTGTGCTTCGGTTAATAAGATATGAATTGAAGTGGTTCCGTGCTACAAAGCATGGACATGGGTAGGAAGTGTTGACAGTTTTGGTTTATAGTCAGATTACAGAAACAGCTTAAAAAACTTAGGACATGCGGTTGGTGGAGAAAATTTTGATGAAAGAATGTTGTGGAGGTACAGGCATAACATGCCAAGTATGAATGTAATATTCGGACAGGAAAGCTATAATTATTGTCCATGTGAATGTCCTAAGTTCTCATTTTGGAAGAGAATTAATACATCAAGAAAAATTTTATAGCTTGTTTGTGAGTTATGAAGGGAAAACGCAGAACCATCTTAGAATTTAAAGCAAAAAGAAATTTCACCCAGTGCCTAAAAATAATCCAAAGCTTCAAAAGGACTAAAATATTTCATAATTAAGTTTGAATTGGGTGCTCCTAATGTATATGCAAGAACCAACAATTAACAGAGACCAACGTTAATTCTTTGTCTGGTCATTGTCAGTGTCTTGGATTGCGATCAAGATCTACACATATGAAACATAAAATTCTTCTTTCCTCTATATATTGAGATCGGAAACCTCAATCTCTCCATCTGCGAATTATGATGAAGGCCTACCCCAGCTAAAGCTTTTGTTTTTTGAGTCACTGACCGGTCAACATGTAACTATTGGCTTGAGTTGCTTCAGAACCGACCAAACAACTCTGACGAAAACAAAAACTCGCATCTGTTTAGTGGGACACACTGACAAAAACATTTAAAAGATACAAGGCCACTTCCCTGGATTCTGGAAAATTATCCTCCTTTAAAAAAAAAAAAAAATATATATATAATTTTTTTTTTATTTATTCATATTAATGGTAACACATATGCTTTAAGGCAATGTGTTTACGTTTTTATATTATTAATTTTTTACAATAATTATTTCTTAATTATTTTTAATATATATCACATTTTCCTTTATTTTTTTAGGTGTTATATTTCTTTTTCACTTGTATTTTTCTTCTCTCATCTTTTTTTCAAATGCATAATCATAATAATTATTTTTTTATATTATCAATCTCCTCTTTATTAATAACATATCACAAAATAATAAACAAGTTATGGGGAATTATATATATATATATATATATATATATATATATATATATATACATTATAGTAAAAATAATTGTGTTAAAGTGTATGTGTGTTTATATTTTTTTTATAATTATTTTTAAATTTTTTATCTTTATATTTTTACTATTTCTTAAATATATAAATTATAATAACTATTTTTAAAATTATGACACTGTTTTTCTATCTATTCAATTACAAAAAAAAAAACAGTTGCATAAGAAATTCCCTTTATATATATATACAAGTAAAAACACATATGCTTTAATGTGAGTGTGTTCACATTTTTATATAATTATTTTTTAAAATAAATTTTATTATATTTTTTATTTTTATATATATATATATATATATATATATATATATATAGATACACACATATATATATATATTGTTTTCGTCAATTATTGTTTTAATAATATAATAATTAAAAGATGTCATTATTTTTAATCATTAAATTATTACAAAAATTATAAAAGAAAAATAAATTTTTAATTCTTATTCTAAAAATAAAAAATAAGAAATTTTAATAAAAATGAATTCCTCTTCTATTTATAAATAAAAATAATTTCTTTAAAGATAAGATATATACTTATTCTTAACATTCATTATTTATTTTCTTGTAATCAGTTAAGATAATTTATTATTTTATATTAGATTATGAAAAAAATAACAGTTATGGGGAATAAATAAAAGTTTTATTTTTAAGTTATCGTTGAATTTATCCCATGATTAATTTATCATTATTTAAAATTTAAGAACAATAATTGGTTAATTCCAAGTTACCATTACAATTGACTATACGTATTTATAAAAAGTAAATGTACAATTTGATCTATAAAACTGGAATTCTTTTTTTTTGTTTTTATGAAAATTATTACAGTATGTTTGGTATAAAAATTTAATAAAGTTAAAAGTTATTCAAAAAATTTAATGTGAAAAAGTGATTCTGTTTTTTTTTTTAGAATAATATAAAATCAAAATTCATATAGTGTATAGTTTAATCCTTGTGTCAACTTATTTGCAAGCTCATTCATCAACAATTATTAATTAAATGTGATTTGTTTATCGTTGTTGCATCTAATTAACCAGATAGATGCTTAAAAAATAAATAAAAATCTAAACTAGATAGATATATAGTCTAAGTATCATAATATTATGTACACTTAATTTAGTTTCAAAAATTGAAAGATACTTACACCAACATAATGTTACATTAATAAATATGCCACATTATAAATAAGACAGTATTAAAACCTATAAAATAAACCTCAGTGATTTTCACATCATTTTATATAATAAATCTATTGATTTTATACTAGAAAAATATATACTAATAATGTAAAATAGTTTTATATTATTATCAAAGTAAAAGGTAGCTATTTTAATTAAATGACAATTAACCAATTTTCTGCATCACAATCATACTTTTTATATAACTTTTGCTTGATTTCAAAGAAAAATATTTTACATCCTTACCATTCGTCAAATAAGATTGTAAATTATTTCGTATTAGGTGCTACAATATTTCTGAGATACAATATTTTAAAGTTTGTTTTTAAGTGTTAAAATATATACTAAAGTTATTTCATTTGATTTTATTTTTACCACATGTTCTACTGATTTTCATTTTAATAACTTTTATTTTCTTTTTGGCTCTTTTCTTCAATTATTTGAATTTCAAAAAATCATATTTGTAAATGTTTATCGACTTTGTTAATATAACTTTAATATATTAATTATTCAAAAAAATTTAATCATATGCAATTTAATATTGCTACAAATGTTAGTTTCCAGAACCATTATCTTAGCAAACAAATGAAAATACTACGTATCTAAATACATAAACTGTATAATAACTATTGATTGAATGATTCTGTAAAAAAAAAAAAAATTAATTTAATGATTATATAGATTTACTGTTTTGTTTTCTCAACTATAAAATTGAAATAATTAGTAAAAGAAGAGAGTAAAAAAGTTGGAGGTTAGCAACCTTGTAAGGTGTAACGAGAATCATTCTCATTTCAATCTCTCTGTGCATGTCAGTTTTCTGGTCTATCTTCTGTGTTTCTCTCACTCCATGCATGTGTATTTCTGTGCAGCGTTAGGTGGTGGGGACCAAACTGTGGTCAATGCCAATGCCATTCTGATCAAGGTTGGTGGAAGTTTTAACTTCCACCTTTGAGTGAATGAAGTGACAAATATAAAGATATTCAACCTCTTTACCATTTCTTTTGTGCTTCTGCTAGCCGTAAAACAAAATTTTCACCATGCAAAACTAACTTGTTTTGGTAACAGCATTGCTTGTGTACCATTGTTATTCGAGTTGGAAAGAATAATTAATAGACAACTCTATATTAACTAACTGATTCACTCGCATGAAGCAAAACTAACTACAGTACGTAGTGTTGGTTGCTGACATGAGTGACTAGTGCAAAATTGTTTTCATTTAGGAGCAGGTATTGAATTGACTAAACAATCTGAATCAGTGCAGTTCGTTTGTTTCGGGTGTGGATCTACTACTTGAAGCAATAAACATATCTGCTTCTGCATCTTTTGGTAATCCGAACACGCTGTGATGTGAAAAAAGAGAGTAAAATTCAAAAGGGTTGCTGAGACACATGCATAAAAATAATCAGAGTTTAGCAACCCATTATTTTTGAATGCCATGTTTTAAGATATGTTGAGGATGGTGAGTTACTGGTTGTTATATCGCACGCGGAATCTAGCATTAGTTAAAATTGGTTAAATTAAAAGGTTGAGAGCTTTGACTTTTCAAAAGGCATAAAAGAAGGAACAATTTTCTGGGTTAGGCCCGATAAAGGAAAATAAAGAAAAAGAAAAGTGGACGAAGGATGAATAAACGTATAAAAGATCACTGTTCAGTAGGGCTGACCTGGGTTGATTCCCTTGGCCAGAAAAAAAGTGCTTTTAACTGAACTTCTTTCCCAACATTTATGTTCCTAATACCAGGCAGCAACACAGAGGGTATATATTCCTCCACTTTTATCTTTGACTCTATTATTGACTATAATATTATTCAACAAGTAGAAGGTGAAGATTGATATTCCGATTCCATTATTATTTAGCAATTCTCAGAAGGAAATGTAGCTTTATAAGATTTAAAAAACATTAACTTTATACAATTTTTAATACTGTTATGAGAAGGGCATGCCTTCGTTTTTTGTCTGACAAACCAATGCTATATTTTTGTTTTTGTTTTAAAAATAATTATTAGTTCATAAACAGATTTGTCAACAAAATTTTAACTTAATTTATGTCTTCACCTAGGCTTAATAAATAAAAAGTGATGTTATCTTTTGTCTATTAAATATTTTTTATATAATATTCTTATTTATCCATTTAAAAATAATTATTTATTTAATTTTTTTATGAAGCTCTCTATTCACTTTAATTATAATTTGATCATGATAATATATATATATATATATATATATATATATATATATATATATATATATCACTCCTGTATAAAAAGTGTAATAGTTACAGTAAAGTATGAGAAATTGATGGAGATGAACAAGATCCACGAGTTAGAGCTTTGAAAGTTTGCTAGTCTTTTTCTTAACGAATCAAATTTGAAAGGATTCTTTTCAAAGATGATAGAGAAAAAAAAATGATAGTCATATTTAGGTTTTATAATATTTTGTTTTTTTGGTAGTAAAGTTACATATTCTAATTTTTTATAATGAGATATGTTTCGGTCATGAATTCTTGTTATAAAATTGTATTCCAAATTTTTTGAAAAAACCGTATTCCGTACCCATGCCCATGTCATATCAATGCAAAATAACTATACTAAAGTCAAAAATTCAGAAGAAATGGAAACAATATATACATAGCAGATACTGTACTGAACTTTACTGGCATGTCTTGAAACACAATAAATAGTTTTCCACTAGGAAATGTTCTTAGAGTACTCTACTTACAACACATGTCACAAAATCAAGCAAATAATGCTTGGTTATTCCTCTCAAATTTCGTTTTGAATGCAAATGGAAGCACTATGAATTTGCAATGCTATACAATTAAACAATTTGAATAAGGAGGAAATGTCATCCTCTGTATTATTTCCACTTATGATGATGTTAATTAACCTAAAATATTTTTTGAAGCTATGTTTCTATGATATACTCTATGGAAGCTTGAATTCCCAAGCCTCTTGAATATATTAAAATGGAAAGGAATCAAATGAAGTCGGGTTGGCCTGTTGCAGTTAAGCATCGATGCCACATTCGACTGTTAGAGTCCACCAACTTGGGATGAGATATCACTTCGGGAATGGGAAAGTAAGCATAATGTGTGTTACAAGATCCTACTGTGATGCCGCTATATCCAGCAAATGCACCATGAACCTGCAATACAAAATCTATTAATCAATATCAAGTGAAAAATGTATCATACTAGACATGGATGTACTTTTTGAGGTGCTTTAGAAGTAGTAGTTATATTCAAAAGTCATATATACCCAATAATCATAAACTACAGAAAAGAAAGTGTTGAGGTGTAAAGATCGGTCAAAGATAGGGAACTTCCTCGTAAGTTCCTGGTCAAAGGAAGGCTACTTCCTTGCAAGTTCCTGGTCAAAGGAAGGCTACTTCCTTGCAACTTCCTGGTCAAAGGAAGGGAGCTTCCTCTCAACTTCCTCTCAAGAAGGATTTGTTTGGCTATAAATACCTCATTTTGTAACCTCATTTGTATCCAATCCAAGTGTGAAGAAAGAGTAGAGAGAGTGTATTCATACGGGCTTGTGTGAGTTGTAACATTCGGTTTATCCTCTTATTCTAGTTCATTCTCCTGGCTTGGTTCGCCCCCAGATGTAGGATTTAATCCGAACTGGGTTAACAAATATTCGTGTCTTTTATTGATCTCACATTGGTGTATTATTATTATTCCATCTTATCCGACCTTATTTCCCAACAACTGGTATCAGAGCCAGGAGGTTGGAGATAAGATGGAGGGAAAGATTCAAGTCGAACGGTTCAATGGTTCCGACTTTGGATTCTGGCGAATGCAAATGGAGGCTTACCTGTACGGGAAGGACCTCTACGCACCTCTTGGGGAAAAACCCGAGAAGATGAGCGATGATGAATGGAAGGTGCTCGATCGGAAGGCGATGAGTGCTATAATTCTTTCGCTCTCTCGGAACGTCGCCTACCATGTGAAGGGAGCAAAAAGCACGAAGGAGGTCTTGCAGATACTCGCCGACATGTATGAAAAACCATCAGCAATAAACAAGGTGATGCTGATGAAAAAGCTGTTCAAATTGCAAATGGAGGAGCGAAAGTCAGTGGCCGATCATCTCAACGATTTCAACCAACTCACGACGCAGTTGGCATCGGTGGATATTTCGTTTGATGATGAGGTAAAAGCCCTAATCTTGCTCTCATCATTGCCGGACAGTTGGGACGTGGCTGTTACTTCGGTGAGCACTTCTTCTGGCAAGGAGAAGATGAAGTTCGACAACATAAGAGATATGATGTTGAACGAGGAGACCCGCAGAAATCAGGCGGGTGGGTCGTCTGGCTCAGCCCTACATACAGAGTCCAGAGGGAGACCCGAAACACGAGGGAAAATCCGTGGGAGGTCAAAATCCAGGGGAAGGAATAAAGGCAAGAAAGAGATGGTGTGTTGGAACTGCGAGAAGCCTGGGCATATGAAAAGCGAATGCCGGGCACCAAGGAAAGACAAAGAAGGCCGGACAGCCAATGCCGCGACGGAGGACACGGCGGATGCACTCTTGTTGAGTGTGAGAAGCTCGCTCGATGACTGGATCGTGGACTCAGGGGCCTCATTTCACTCATGCAGTAGCAGAGACATCATGGAGCCATACATCGCAGGTGATTTTGGCTTGGTATATCTTGCAGACAACAAATCCCTAAAAATTGTAGGGAAGGGAGATGTGCAGATCAAGTCCGCAAATGGGTCATGCTGGACCCTACGTGATGTGAGACACATTCCAGGACTGAAGAGGAATCTCATCTCAGTTGGACAGCTGGACAATGACGGCTTCCACACAATGTTTGGAGACGGAAAGTGGAAGGTCAGCCGAGGAGCTATGACTTTGGCAAGAGGGCTGAAGTCAGGAACGCTTTACACGGCGAGTAGATCCAGCTCAAACATTCTCCTGGCAGGAGTTGTCTCACAATCGCACTTGTGGCACAGTCGCTTGGGCCACATGAGCGAAAAAGGAATGAAGGTACTAAAGTCGAGAGGACTTTTGCCCGAGTTGGAGTCAGTGGACGTGGGTCTCTGCGAGCAATGCGTGCTTGGAAAGCAGAAGCGAGTGAGCTTCATAACCACCGGAAGAGCTCCAAAGACAGAAAAACTGGAGCTCGTGCACACTGACTTATGGGGGCCAGCACCGGTGACATCTCTTGGAGGATCGATGTACTACATGACGTTCGTCGATGACTGCACAAGAAAGGTATGGGTGTACTTTCTGAAAAGAAAATCCGAAGCCTTTGATACTTTCAGGAGATGGAGAGCACTCGTGGAGAAAGAGACAGGTCTGGAAGTGAAATGTCTCAGATCCGACAACGGTGGCGAGTACAACAGTGAAGCCATCAAAGAATACTGCGCTGATCATGGGATCCGGATGCAGAAGACGGTCCCAGGGACACCTCAACAAAATGGCATTGCGGAGAGGATGAACAGAACACTGAATGAGCGTGCGAGATGCATGCGATTGAAGAGTGGACTGCCCAAGATGTTTTGGGCAGAAGCAGTCAGCACGGCCGCTTTCTTGATCAACCGGGGGCCTTCTGTCCCACTGAACAACAAAATTCCAGAAGAGGTCTGGAGTGGTAAGAAAGTTGATCTCTCTTTCTTACGTACCTTTGGTTGTTTGGCTTACGTTTTGAATGACGACCGGACAAAGCTGGATGCTAAGTCCGTCAAATGTACATTCATTGGATATGGGACTGACGAATTTGGGTATAGATTTTGGGATGATCAAAATCGGAAAATTATTCGCAGTCGTAATGTGGTGTTCAATGAAGGCATAATGTACAAGGACCGGAAGGAATACCTGGACGATGACAAGACCATGCAGGAGTATGTTGGTCTCGATATTTCAAATACCGGAATCATGAGACCAGCAGATACAGTGGGAGCTCAGATAGATGAGATCGAGCGTACAGAAGAAGAGGCAGAACCAGAATCAGATGAACCGATTGCTGAGAGCAGCACGCCTCTGGCACTGGGTCGAGAACCGAGGATGAGAAGGGCCCCGGATAGGTACTCCCCTTCTCTTTATTACCTACTTTTATCTGATTCTGGGGAACCCGACTGTTATGCAGAGGCAGTTAAAGATGCCCACAAGAGCAAGTGGGAGCTTGCGATGGAAGACGAGATGAACTCGTTGAAGAAGAACCACACATGGGATTTGTGTGATCTCCCACAAGGAAAGAAGGCTCTTCAAAACAGATGGGTCTATCGGGTCAAGGAGGAATCAGATGGAACAAAACGGTACAAGGCCAGACTTGTAGTAAAGGGATTCCAACGGAGATACGGTATTGACTTTACCGATGTTTTTACACCTGTTGTTAAGTTAACCACTATACGTTTAGTGTTAAGCATCGTAGCGGCGGAAAACTTGGAGTTGCAACGGTTAGATGTGAAGACGGCCTTTCTGCATGGGGATCTCGAGGAGGAAATTTACATGGTGCAACCGAGAGGGATATAGAGGAAATGATCAGCAGGTCCGTCGCCTAAAGAAGAGCTTGTACGGACTGAAACAGGCTCCTCGACGAGTGGTACCGAAAATTCGATAATTTCATGCTGGAGATAGGATACTCCAGGTGTAATGCCGATCATTGTTGCTATGTGAAGAAGTTCGGTAACTCTTTCATTATTTTACTGCTATATGTGGATGACATGCCGATAGCAGGATCGGATGTCAAGGAGATCGAGAGGCTCAAAGATCAGCTATCAAGGAGATTTGATATGAAGGATCTAGGAGAAGCGAGACAGATACTGGGCATGAAAATCACGAGGGACAGAAATGCTGGTAAACTTTGGCTTTCTCAATTTGATTATATTGAGAAGGTGTTGTGCAGATTTAATATGAATATTGCAAAGTCGGTTCGAGTGCCATTGGGAAGCCAGTTCAAGTTGTCCAACAAGGATTCGCCCCAGGATGACTCGAAAAAAGAAAAGATGAGAGTTACGCCGTATGCTTCGGCTATCGGGAGCCTAATGTACGCTATGGTCTGCACCCGGCCAGACATAGCACATGCAGTGGGAGTAGTCAGTCGGTTCATGAGCAATCCTGGAGTGATGCACTGGGAGGCGGTAAAGTGGATCCTTAGGTACCTGAGGGGTACTAAGGACCGGGCATTAGTATTTGGCAGGGGTACCCTTACCCTGTCTGGGTATGTCGATGCTGATTTTGCAGGAAGTGATCTTGACAAGAGGAGGAGTACTACTGGGTACGTATTCACTTACGGCGGGACGGCCGTATCCTGGATCTCAAAGCTGCAGAAGATAGTCACATTGTCCACAACGGAAGCTGAGTACGTGGCAGTGACGGAGGCAGCCAAGGAGCTCGTTTGGCTGCAAAACTTCTTGAATGAACTTGGGAGACCTCAAGAGGATGTGGCTCTATACAGCGATAGCCAGAGTGCAATCCATCTGGCAAAGAACCCCGCGTTTCACTCGCGAACGAAGCACATCGAGGTTAAGTATCATTTCATCCGGCAACTTCTAGAGAAGAAGATGCTGCAGCTGAAAAAGGTTCGGGGAGATAGGAATCCTGCAGACATGTTGACCAAGGCGGTAACTTTGGAAAAGTTGAAGCTGTGTGTAGCTTCGACTGGCCTTGATGATTAAAACAGGCAGACTTAGCAGAACCAAGAGCAGAGATGAACAGGTTGACCAATCTTCAAGTGGGAGATTGTTGAGGTGTAAAGATCGGTCAAAGATAGGGAACTTCCTCGTAAGTTCCTGGTCAAAGGAAGGCTACTTCCTTGCAAGTTCCTGGTCAAAGGAAGGCTACTTCCTTGCAACTTCCTGGTCAAAGGAAGGGAGCTTCCTCTCAACTTCCTCTCAAGAAGGATTTGTTTGGCTATAAATACCTCATTTTGTAACCTCATTTGTATCCAATCCAAGTGTGAAGAAAGAGTAGAGAGAGTGTATTCATACGGGCTTGTGTGAGTTGTAACATTCGGTTTATCCTCTTATTCTAGTTCATTCTCCTGGCTTGGTTCGCCCCCAGACGTAGGATTTAATCCGAACTGGGTTAACAAATATTCGTGTCTTTTATTGATCTCACATTGGTGTATTATTATTATTCCATCTTATCCGACCTTATTTCCCAACAGAAAGAACCAAAACGTAGTTGGCTTCCATCATCTCAAAACACATTTACTAAGTATATTCTGGTCCTCCAAAAGTTTGTCATCGAAATATCAAATAAATTTCTTAAAGATTGATATTATAAGGCCAATAAAATACCTTAATGAGAACCAACAGTAAAAGCGAAATTACATATATGGAACAAGAAAAAGATAGAGAAGGAGAGGGACTAACAGCATTTTGTCCAAGAACAGTACAGAAAATTCCATCAGAAGCATTTGCTCGACATGCACGGATCATATATGTTGGATCGATATATTTCACGTCAGCATGAACACCAATTTCCTTGAAGTATTTTTTCGTCTGAAATAATACGGTCGTTAGAACTAACCACTTATATTTAAAAAAAAAAAATCAATTAAGACAGATTACTTCATTAACAAACCTCTTGTTGGGTATATACACCAATGTCTCGAAATACAGTATTTCCAGAAGCATCAGTAGCATTAGGTTTTTGAAGCAAGCTCTGCAAATATATATCAGTTAGAAGTTTAAATTTCTAACTCTGTCAGAATGTAGCAATCTTCAAATAAATAAATTGAAAAAAATAAAAAACAATGTTTGCCACACCACCAGAGCAGAAATTTAATAACGCAAGTATTGTTGAATTATTATTTGTGAAAAATAATTTCATAAATCACCTGTCCAGCTCCCTCTGCCACGCATACTACTGCTGATCCCTTTGTTTCTATAAGGTACTTGAGATAACTCAAAACTCCACGAGGTCCGTGTAAGTTGAAAGGAACCTTTGAATCGCAACAAGAACTTGCATCAGTAAATCTATATGACAAGAAAGAGTGTTCTGACCAGTTTTTATCATACATACCTCAGGAATCAAACATATGTCAATCTGTCCACTAGCTAAGGAAGCATGCATTGCTATGAATCCACTGTCACGACCCATCAATTTCACAATACCAATTCCATGATATGCACTATGTGCCTAATAAAATGAGTCAAGAGATGTAAATATCCCAATCTTCACCAACTTGAAAATATTACCACTCAAATCAGAATATATTCACCTCAATGTATGCGGAATTTATTGCTCTTTGTGCTTCTTCAACCGCAGTATCGAAGCCAAAAGTTTTGTCCATCAATAGAATATCATTGTCTATAGTTTTAGGCACTCCAATTATAGACACCTTAAGACGTCTTTTACAGCACTGAAAAAATTCACTAGACACTCAGGACAAGCTTAGATATTCTAGTAGTGCAAAATATAAGTGAAGATCCTTCAATATCATATACAATGCATATCTCAAACAATTGTTTAGTATACAGTTTAATGTTAACATTCAGTGATCAGAAAAGAAACGGCAGTGAGTAAAACCAAATAGAAAGTCAACTGTGTAAATTCCTAGTTATGTTTTCGCATAAATAAATCCCATGGATCACAAAATGATCCAATTGATATGATCAACTAAAACACAGAGAAAGGATTACAAACCTCATTGTGAATTGCATTTGCACCAGCATGTGTGCCATTTCCACCTAACACAAAGAGCATATCGATCTCTCTTTCCTGAAATTCATAACAACATTCACACCAAACAAATCACAGTAAATATAGTATACTCGGTAGAAAAAAATCTCTGCGTGATCATCAATTTTGTCAATAGAATAATAGATCACCTCCAAACTGTCCACAATTTCACTGACTCCAGGTCCTCCACGTGAAACACCTAATAGGCTTCCACCTGAAAGATGAATATTCTGAACCACTCTTCTCGACAGCTGCAAATGAAATCCCAATACAGTAAACAATCATTAGCAAGAAGGAAAGTTCAATGGAATTACAAATGATATTTAGTTAAATCAAATGATATATTGTCCAAAAGTCAGCAAGGAAGGAAGCATGATATTACTGGAACTTCTGTCAGCTCTTGGTCAGAAAATCCACGATAACCAAAAGGAATACCCACAATCTTTGTTACACCATATATTTCGAGTGTGATTACAATCTGCAGCACATCCAATATTGAATCAAACATCGAGAAACAAACAGAATTAGTGAGCATAATTTTTTTTTTTTTAAACCTAAATGCAGAGGAAATGGCGTTGCGTAAAGCATACTTAAGATAGTAACATGAAAGCAAAGAATCTATTTAAGGTTTGCCAATAGCTGAGACACAAGAGTATTTCACAGCCCACAGAATTTACAACTTATCGTTGAGATGGCACAAATCAATGCAAATTAAAATGTTATATTTCTGTAATAACTTTCGTTGCGTCAACTTTATGGGAGCTTGCAAAGATTTGATATTTTATATAAAATTTGTCAAAGCTAACTGAGAGTCAATTCGATATTAAATTCACCTGTCTGATGACATCATTAAGACCAGGGCAGAGGCCTCCACAAGTAACAATTGCGGCCTTTACTTCTTCTGGTTTAAAGTATATCGTTCCCCGAGGTCCAGCTCGATGAACCCTAAAAAGGATATCAAAACATATTACCAAATATGATTATCGTAGAAAAGAAATTATGTACATTTAGAAGAAGACTCGAGAGAAAGACACAAACTATTTGATAGATATAGAAATGTTATTAGTAACTAATATCATAAGTTTGAAGAACAGCCTCTCTCAATCTAACTTTCTCACACTGTCAGAAAAAAAAATAAAAATGATGTAATTGTGTGATATTCCCATCCTATTGTCCAATAAGTTCGTGAATGCTTTGGAACCTTTATTGTTAAAAATTATGCATCAGAATTGCAACACGTCATTGCAAAGTTCTGTTCACTGCATTCTATAGTATCCAATCAATACAATGACAGCGGAAGCAAGGCCAAATATCAGATAACTGAAAAGATATGAATTAAAAAACTGGGAATTTTTACAGTAAGCAAAATAAGTTGCAAGTAATGATAAAATATAACGAGTAAATTCAATGTGATTGGGAGTTATTAATCATTGAAATGAAATTATGGAGCTGTTATATAGCAAGGAAAGGAAACTGAATCTCGAAGTTCCAAACTCCCTCTTAAACTCCATAACAAGAAAAAGATTGGTCAAAAACATTTTTGGTTGAGGAGTTTTAAGTGCCCCTTATGGAAAAAATATATCCTCTGTCCATCACCATACCAACCTCCAAAGTCCCAATAAAATAGTACATTGTTTTTAACATAGCAACATTACTATCTGTTTGACAGGCATAAGCATAATAACTCACTACAGTCCAGATTTGAATCATGAAATCAAATATTTACCATTGTTCAACCCAATTACAACCAGGATCAATGCACTCCGCACCAGCAGATGTAGGTGATGAAAAGTATATTGTCTGAGCGATCAAAGCAAACGAAAATTAACATTCAGAACTGTTAACACTTGTCTCATAAACTTAATAGAATAAGATCATATATAACTATCCAACACACAAGAATTTCCCTGTCCTTCAATTATATTTACAAAGACATCAATGCAAGAATCAGTGAAAAATGCCAAAACTATTCTTTCTTAAAAGACAACTGTAATGCGTTGATGTCAGAGAGACAGCTTTTCAACCAACTAACCAGGTACCACATTCCAACTTAAGGTATCAATTCATATTAGTCATTTGGTGACAGTTTCCTACAAACACAACTAGGTCTATTAAAAAACATTCAATTTATGTGCTCCATAGTTCTCATAAAATTAGTTTTTTACTCTCCGTCTTTCTTAATTTTGCAGATTTATGGGGAATCTCGAAGGGTTAGATATAGTAAATAATAATGTGCTAGTAATGAGGAAGAGGTGGAATTTAGGAGGGAGAACAAGAAATGTTAGAATGTTTAAAATGAGTCATGATTAATTATATTCACTACTAACGTAAAGTAAATTAATGCTGCAATGGATTTAATAAGCATCGGAACAACTGCAATGTCGCCATATAAACACACCATTGTGGTCTATGGCGCCCCCATAAGCGTCCTCCCTTCATAAACAGTCTATGGTCGAAGGGTCGTAAAATATCGTTTTGCAGACTTATGGTAGCGATTATTTAACAACATTTAATGGCAGTGGCTGCAACCATAACCACATTTGCAATTTTGAAACATGAATGCAATAAAGGTCCACGGGAAACAGGAACTGAATTACTATGCACAGTAATAACATCTATCAGATAAACACGTCTTCATAATCAATTTAAATTCAAACAACATGAAGCAGAAATGAGACACACCTTAAGAAGCACTCTGTCATTGTCATTTATATATCCCTGCCAATTCTCATCCAAAGGATAATTACCAGGAAAGTTGCTAGTCCTAGGATTTCTGCCACAGTCATAGACATCACCAATAAATAAGAGAAAAAAAAAATGCAGTTAAAGACGTCAAAACAAACAAAGAAAATAAAAACGTAATCTTCGTTAGGTGCTTTTATTATTGTTCTCCAATTAGAATTGGAGTTTTACCTCAACAATCTTTACTCACTTACAAATACCTTTATTTCAAGAAATATCAACTACCAATGTCAAACTCCAGGTCTAATAAAAATACATGAGTTTTTCCCCAATAAGCCTATATCGACCTTTAACGTAGCATTACCTTTTTTACAAGAATTATCAATATCAAAAGTCAGATAAAAGAATAGGAGCCTATATTGACATGGAATGTAGCATTATTTTAATTACGTGAAACTCAGAGTCTGATAAGAGAATGGTACTAAAAACCATATCTATTTTCCAAAAGAGGCAAAGTTAATGTAGTCACATCACAGACAAATTGCGCAGGAAGCGAAGAGAAACCAACCTCAAATTGGGACAGAACGTAGAGGGCATAGAAGCAGCATCGGGGAAGATATCAGTGACATGGGGGAGTCTGAAGCGGTCTTCAAAGTCGTTCTTGAACTTCGTTTTCCAATCAGGGTCGCTGAAATCAATTGCGGTAGTGGACTTCGAATCGGAGCTTTGACTCTTAACCTTGGGAAAGACGCTAGCGACCCTGGCAGGTACCACCAATGTCTTGAAACGAGGATTGGAGTGAGAAAAACCACGGCGATAACGGTTGGAAGCTGTTAGGCCATGAAGAGTGATCACGTATAACATGGAAGCCATCATCAACAGCGGTGAATCGAATTGAATGCAGGAACAGAAGCGGAGGGAACGAAGGGTGCGAGTAATGGAATAGAACCGAAGAGGTTTGAAGTTTCAATACTTCTTTGTGGCATGTGTTGTGACGTTAATGAGATTACGTGAAAGAAACAAGAGAGACAACCTTTGCAGTGGTAACAATGGCAATCGGTACGAACTTCTGTACTACGTCGCCGACCCCTGCACTTGTTGTATCGTAGAATGTTGAACCCCGGAAGGAAGCAAAGTATTGAAAATGCTAGATAAAAAAAAGATGCATTAAAAGATAGCGGTAGTTAATAAAGATGGATGAAAAAAATACATTTTAAAAGATTTCGGTAGTTAAAAAACTAATAAAAATATACCGGTGATTAAAATAATATATTAAAAAGTATGGATTTAATTTCTCATTTTAGAGAATAAAATACAATATTAATAGTTAACCAAATCAACTATTGTAGTTATAATTAGTTTTAATCTTTTTACATATATTTTAAGTTATCTTAATTTTAGTTTAAGATAATAAAAAACTGATTTAGTCATTTATATTTATTTTGTTTTATTGATAGTTTTATACGTATTGAGATTCAAGTTAATGATATATTGAAAGAGATAATAAATTAATTCAAAATTTCAAACAATATTAATTACATAAGAAGATATAAAAATGTATATTATGTGAGATAAATAAGCTTGATTTTTGAGAAAAGTTGACGTTTGACAAGTATTTAACTTTTTCAAGAGTCTTATCTGGAAATACATTATATCAGGTTTTGGTAGGTCTAATTTTCGTTTCAAAAAATAAAGTCTGAATTTGTTTTATTTATATTTTATAGAGCTATTTTAAATGTTTATCTTATTTTATATAAAAATCAGACATGATTAGTAAAACTTATTAGATATTGTTGACTTAAATAAATTTATTAATAATTATATTTTTTATTTGAGTGCGTAACATATACATATATATATATATATATATATATATATATATATATATATCAATTATTTAAAAATTAAATATTTTAATAAGACATTAAACAAAGTAGAAAGTTTTTTTTTCAGAAGTTTAGTCAACATGCTTAATTTTATCGGGTCATAAACTCTGTTTAGTATATAGTCCAATATATTTTACCTTTTATTTTTTAGTATATGAACATGGTATTCTAAAATTTTGTTTCGTATAATTTATTTTCACCTTTCAATTAGCGACTCTAAGTTATGAGATTACTTTGTTTTTAAAAAAAAGAAAATAATTATAAATAATTGTAATTAATAAATTTTTTAATTAAAATACATTTTTTATAAAAAAATTAGAATGTATTAAAAATCTAAGAACTTATAATGGCATTATTTGTTTATAATTAATATATATGGTAATATAATACTACTAATTTATATAATAAATAATTTAAAAATTATTTCTAAAATGCAAAATGCACATATTTTTAGTTTATATGCCAAATGCACACAATACTTTTTCCATTAATAGAATCTCGTTATCATATTCACATGTTTGAAATTTGTTACTTTTGTATGGAGAAAATTCGATTAAAAGAGAAATAAAAAGATTATTTTGATGAATTTTAAGTTTTGAAACAAAAAATCAAAAGATATTATTTATTGTAAAAAATCACTGCCTAGGAAATTATGAAACAAAAGAACTATTAATCTTTTATTTGACCATATTAATTTGAAAGGAAGCAGCCATTGGGTTTGAGTCTCACCTACCAAAGACTCAACTTGATATCGTAAGTTGTTGAACAAGCTTCTAGTCAATTTCTTCTCATTATAAAATTCAAAGCTCAAAATAAAAGGTACGAAATTTTAGGATGTTTTAGTGTTGTCTAGGAAAAGTATTCATTTCAAACATCTTCTTTTTTTATATAAAATAAATATATAATATAATTGTGTTGTTTAGCTTAATTAAATAATTATCTGAGTTTAAAAATAAAATAAAAGTAGTTTACAATAATTAAAAAAAAAACTATTAGACAGATAAAAAATTTAAAAGTATTTTTTTTTATTTTAAGCCAATTACAACAAAATATATTGTTTATATTTTTTAATAAGAAAATTTGAGTTTTCTTTTAATAAAATCATGTATTTTTTCTTGTCTCAAAACATATTTTGCACACTTATATATAGTTAAAAGAATGACTAAGCAAACTTTAAAGATTAATTAAAGATATATTTGGACAAGCTTCATCATAAATATTTTTAGGGAAGAAAAATAAGTAAAATGAGGTTTTTTCATGAACTAAATTTAATTTCTGCTGTAAAGTTATATTTTAAAGGACTGCCAAATTCTTATTTTTTTTAGTAAATAAAAAAAACTAATGTTTATTTTTTTATATAAATAGTTATATGGAAAAATATTTTTAAATATATCTTAAACCAAATTTTTTATTTAAATATTTAAATATTTGTAATGTGTGATTATACATATTCTCAATTCTGGTAGTTATTTTTATGTATTAATAGTAAACTATCAGTTGCAATTACAACTAAGATAACAACATAAAATACAAATAACTTTTATATATATAATATTATAAATATTTTATATTTATATAAAAACATTAATATATTTATATACATATTTTGATATAATATAATAACTAAAAAATATATTTAATAAATAATAATTTAAAGTTGATAAATATTTATTTATATATAAAAAATAATTTTAAAATTAATTTATTATAAATAAAATTATTTTAATTCAAAATAATATAAAAAACAAATTAAAAAAATAAAATTCGAAATTTAACGAAAATTGGAATAAAAACTTAGTTTCAGGCTATCAGATATTAAAACAAATATCAAAATGATATAAAAAATTAGCAACGGGTGTGGAGAGAAAACCCAGCGCCGCCCCACGCCTAGGTGCTATATATGCACACATATTTGCTGAAAAACATTATTTCAGGTGAAACACTAGCTACTATTTTTTTACTATTATTATTACTGAATTTGACATCGAAAGGGACATCCAACGAAATTTTATATAAAAAATATTAATATTAAATGAATTATTAAATATTTACATTCAGTTTTGTTATATATATATAAAGAATAAAAAAGACTTTACATTTTTTTGTTAACTGTAATATTGGTATATATTAGTCTAAAATAAATAACACCGTCGTGGACTCTGATAAATTAAAATGTAAAAACTACTCTTTATTTATATATATATATATATATATATATATATATATATATATATATATATATAATATTTAAAATACCTTTTCATTATTGTCTTATTTAAAAATGGTTAACTTTTCATTATAAAAATAGAATTGGCAGGGGAGCATGATATTATTATACTGTTACACAGGACGAATAGTTTGGCTTGAATAGGTTCCTTTTAACTAACATTAAAAACCCAAAGGAAAGGTACACATCGAAGGGAGACATACCCTATTATTGATTGTGCTTTAAGCGCAACCCAACTAGTGCCTTATTCCTTCCACGTAAAGCAGAATTTGTCTTTTCTTATTGTTCATGCACACCCAAATCACATTCTAAAACGGTTTGAGTTAGTTTTGGCGCCTAAAAATTGCATGAACCAAGTGAAACACTGTCTCTTACTGTCACATTTTCTCTAAGCACCCCAATGTGTCACAGGCCCCATGCACCATGGTCTAAATCACATTGTTGGCATATAAATTCCACATGTTGGATGCTGCTAGTGCAAGCGCCAACCATACATCATGGGTCATCAAGGAGAGTGCACCAACGCAGATATCCTAGGTTCTGTGATTACACTCGAAGTTTTTATTTTCATATTCCTCAAACTTTTGCTAACAATATTGCTGGGTTTTACCTTTGCAGATTTGTCACCGGAGAATTGCCAAGATTTTGAGTTTGACAGCAGTACTTGGCTTAGTTCAACGCTGGGCTCACAAAAAGTTTAACTTCTTTCGAGTTTCAACTGTTACACGATTAAATTAACTCCGACTAAGATTTTAAATTGCGGCTATGATTGCAATTTGGTCACATTTTTGGACAATGTATATATGTTGCGTGGTTTTTCTGATTATTTTGTCGTTGATTTGAACTACAGGAAAAAATTGAAAACCGCAAAATGGAGTCCCATGACATACAGAAGAACTGTAACATCGTTCCTATTTCGGCGGAGGAGTTGAAGATACGAAGTGAGCTTGGAATGGAGATTGAAAAGGACTTGGAAGAAGAGATCAAGGAGGGTATATACCACCTTGCTCTTCGGTTGCACAGGATTTACCAGGAGAGGAAGGAAAAAAGTGCAAAAGAAACATTTGAACCTGACAATAACCGAGCTAGAGCCCTTTCTGAAGTGAACATAAGCATAAGAATGGAAGGTAGAACTAAAGTTGAAATCAAAGAGGTGAACAATGAAGAAGCTGTTAAAAAGGGTTGTCCGTATTCTAGGCCACAAAATGTGAGGGAAGTGAAGAAGGTTGATTGGGTAAAGACCCTGAGAGGAGGTTCAAGCCCTGTTTGTGCTAGCAGATTATCAAGTGTCAGCTCAAAGAACAAGGAGAAAAAGCATAGCACTGACCCTAATGGTTTATCCAATTGGAAAATTCCCGGTGGGAGGGGAAAGAAAGCTGGTTCCTTTGGGGAAGTAAAACAGAATGCAGGCGTGGAAAAGGAGATACTTCAGTTGGGGTGGAGGGTTTGAAGGGCTTGTTCTGATTCGTGATTTCTATTTTGTTTTGTTTGAAGTTATTTTTCCTAATAACAAATGATGGAACCGGATCGAGAAATGATTAATCCAAAATAAATTACTATTATTTTCAACGAATTCTAAAAAAATTCGAATGAGACTATGCTTTGAGACCAAGCTGAATTGTTTTTTAATTGAATCAAATTGTTATTTGATACTGACCTAGTTCTGTTCTCACCAAAAAGCAGTTCAAAAAATGGTTTAGTAAGGATTAGTCTTTCTTAAAAGCTTCAAGAAAATTCTTCATCGTTTTTTGAGTATTTGCAACACACAGCATCTATTACTCTTTATTTTGCACCAACCTTGGAGGGGTTTCATCATAATCCCTCCTGTTTACACCCACTTACTAACTTTTTGAAAATTAGCCATTAAACCATATATCTGCTATCAAATAGGATCAAATCTATGAATATAATCCTCTTATCTTATTTCTTAGTTAGTTTTATAGAGTTAATTAGATAATCTTTTTTTTTAAGATGGTATAAAATTTAATTCATTAGATTAAAAGTATTGATACTCCTCAAAACAAAAAAGTGATAAAATTTAATAAAACACATAATAAAACACAGATAAAAGAAACTTAAGCCTAGAACATTTTGTAGCATGACACATAAATCCCTTTATCTAAGTAATTAAGAAACATGGTGAGACAATTTTGTGTATTGAACTCTTTTGCTCACAAACACGTAGAAACATACACATTATATTATGTGCAATTATATTTTGACATTATTAAAGTAAAAAATATTAATAGATAACCCAATATAATAATATAATAATGATTTTTATTATTATATTGTTTTTTATGTTAAAAGTGTCAAAATATCCTTTTCTTTATATTATTCATCTCCTCCAAAATATATGGCGCATTATGTACAATAGTTACTGTCAACTGGGTGAATTATAGTTTTTTTTTTTAAGTTAACCTTGCCCTTATTGCAGAGCATTCCATCCAAAAGTTATTTTTCTTCCGTGAGTCCTATTTGGTTTCTAAAAATCACAGCGGAGGTGATTTTATGCAATTTAATTAAATATATTTTTCATCTACTTAAATGTAATATTATTTAAGCTTTTTATATGATATAAACAGTGTACTCAATTAAGATTTTTTTTTTTGAAGAATCAAATGCATGCATTTAAATAAGCTTTTTAAAACTTATAAAAGTTCAATGGAAGTATTCAAAAGTACATATAGATTTCAACGAATTGTTTTTTTTTTTCATTAGCAATTTTGATAAAATTTATGTGAATTTATGAAAATCTTCTATTTAAACTTTTGAAATTTTTAGGACCCTTTTCATGTTTGTCAGACTCTTTTTTATACCATGATTTTATCTTTGTTGGTGAAAATTTTCGATTATAGACGATTTTTCATTTTCAATATTATTAAATATGAGGATCATAATTTTAAATTTATTATTCAAAATCATATATATATATATATATATATATATATATATATATATATATATATATAAAATATGGAGAAGTACCTTTTGTCTGATTGAAGCGAAGGCAAGATACCTTAAAACATAACTTTACAGAAACTTTTAGCTATTAAAAAAAATCAGCACACTTCTTTTAAATGGATTTTTATTGTTAATATTTGATTTATACTCACGTGTAAACTTATTATTATTAATTTATAATCTCATATTTTATATATTTATGGTTTATCTTTTTATATAAACAAATTAACTATGTTGTTAGCTTCTAAAAAATATTGCATGACTTTTAGTTTCTGTATTTATTTTTTATTTTATTTTTAAGTTCTGGTGAATTTTTTTTTCATTTTTGAATTAGTCATTTTAAAAATATATTTGAAAGAGACTAAAAATAAATTACGTGTATATACTATAAGGAATGAAATGAACAGAGGGACTGAAAGTAAAATAATCTTTTTGAGAAATGAAAAACAAAACCACTTTATTTTAAAGATTAAAAATATATATATATTTAAACTGGAAAAATAATACATGGTTATGGTTTATGATGATTTTAGTACGGGCTAAAATGTGGCAACGTAACGGAGCCCTCCCTGACCCACACCTTCAACATCTTGTCTGTCAAAAATCATGGGTATCCCTTCCTAGGCCCGTGATATTACAAAACAAAGCCCAAGTGCCCACCAAGCTTAGACATGAAAATGTCATGAAGCCATGTTTGGTAATTTGGGTTTCTAGTTGAAGAAATGCATGTAACAACACTCTTTCAATACATTATTTTATTACTTATAATAAAATAAGTAATAAACTAATGGGTAATGCAATCGTAAAAAATAATCTTATCATATATAGTTTAATCGTATATGTAATTGAGTTGAATAAGAAATAGAAAGTATTGTTAAGAAAGATAGAGTAAATTGATGAGAATGTGGGGGCATGGGTAGCCCAAAGATTGGTGTTGGAATGATTGAGAAGGAAAAAATGTGATTGTTTGGAGATTGGGAAGCATGAAGGTGAGGTGGGTCTAGTTGGTAAGGGCAGGAGCAGGGATTCTCCATAAGGGACACAAGGTAAGGTCACAAACCCAACTTCCTTGGAAACTTTCTCCTTTTTCCTTTCGAATCATCAAATTTTGCTTTGCCAAAACTTTGTAATCCAAACGAATCTATGCCTGGTCCCTCCTCTTCTTCTTCCTTCTCTCCACCTTTCAGTTGACTCTCTTCCACACCATATATATTCTCTCCTCTTTTCTTTTTTCTTCGCCCTTCTTTTTACCCTCATTTTTTATCTGTTATTTCTGGTAAATCTATGACCTAACTTCACATCTTCTGCCCTCTTTGTTTGCCCTTCTTTCAACATAATATGCTTTCACCATTCTCGATCAACACACATGCCACTTCTTCACGTTAATTCCCGTCATTTTTCTTCTCTCAAATTCGGCTTTCTGTTGAAAGAAAGTAAGAAACAATAAAATATAAGCTCTTATCCCTTCTTCTTCAAAGCAAAAGACAGTCAAAATGAATGGTTTTTTCTTCCAACTGTATAAATATGCACCATGAAAAACATTATCAACTCTCATTAATTACACCAGTTCAGTTTGGTTTATATTATATGCATTCACAGATCATATATTAAACCAGAATTTTTGTGTGCAAGATGTACATGCTTTTATGATTTTACAATTCGCAAAGCCGACATCCTTCACTGACAAACATATTTTATAATAGAGTTATATAGCTATCAGGTCTTTTAAACACAATTATTAAGGAATTAATAAATGATTTTTTTATTAAAATTCATAGTGAGTTATAATTCAAAGTTACAATAAGAGTGTATTACAATAGCAGATCTTCAAAAGTTTTTAATCTTTAATTTCTTAACTGAGCTTAAGAGTAGTTATTTACATTCTCCTTTATAATATGTTTTAAATATTTTCTTTAATTTGAAATATATTTTCTTCATTAGTCAACTGCTTTTTCTGCTGTAGCAAAGCAATGATATATATATATATATATATATATATATATATATATATCATAATATTATTTATATACTTTACCCATATGAAAATAACAAGATTTCTTCTTACTATTTGATCGTATGGTCATGGACATCTAAAACCACCCGCATTGCTGTCATGTTTATAATTTAGTCCTTACCAATTATACGTTTAACGTTAAAATTAACCAAATTTATATCATATTATTAATTTTTTATAAAATATAAATCCAAATAAATAACCTAATTAAAGTTTTGGGTGGAAAGAAAGATTAGTTTGTCCTCACCCATGACGCAAAATACCCGTTATTAATAGCTGACATGATCACTATGTTTCGACACAAAGAAAACATAATTGCAGCAAGGGTGCTTAATGGTTCAACTGATGGCGTGAAATTAATGTGGATAGAGATGGGGAGGGCAAAGAAATATTAGATGAACTGAAAAGAAGCATGGCTGCTTCTGGTGCGAGTTGTGTAGCAAGAATAGGGTGGTGATTTGACGGGGTTGCAGGTTTTTGGAAGAGATGGATGTAGAATAAGAAATGATGTGGTTAACTTTGTTGTTGCCAGTGAATGATGGAAGGGAGCATATAGACAATATCCGTTAAGCGATGGACATGTTGGTAGGAGAGATACGGGTATGTAGGCCTTTGCATCTTATCTATCTCACTCATGCAATAACCAAGACTTGCACCAAAGGATTACATTACATTATATTGTGTGGACCACAGTTCAAGCACGCAGCTTTAACTGATGCTCAACACCCCCTAAAACAAGCAAAGCATCTTAAACGTGTAATTGGTAATGCTCAGGGTTTGGACTACTTAAGAAGCAAGGTGCCCATAAAAGCATAATATCCTGCTACTACAATTCAAACATCATAACCCCTACACTTTCAATTAGGAAGGTTACAAAGTAGCACGGTTCTCCATCTTTCCCCAAGTAATCAACCAGGTCCCCCTTTTACCATGCATATTAAACCTCATCCATAAAGCTTCTAACAACCCTTACTTAATTCATTAACTACCTTCTATATCTATACTACTACTATTACTTAAGCTTTTTAAGGACTCCACCTTCTTAATGCCACCATGATATTGAAACAGTGAACAGACGTGACTGAGATTATAGGGATTCTGATAGATTCTCTCCCCATGCTCTCTAAACCAAATTCATGGTATAGTAGGTTACATAGCTGCTCGCTGCAGGAAAAGAATAAATAAAAAAGGTTGTCTACTCGTGTCCCTACTTTAATATTTCTTCTGTGTGTTTATGTTTATAGCTTGGTTGCCAACTTGATACAAAGAACAGTTTGGTCAAAACAAACAAACATATTATTTTCCAAGTGAAAAACAGAGATGATATGGAAGGAAAATAGAGGGGGAGAAAAAAAAAATCAAACATTTGTCAATTTACGTTTACCCCACATCAGGATTTGAGCCTTCCAAAATTTCTTCCCATCAAAAGAAAACAAAATAAAGCCTCTTAAACTTCACATAACTCGCATGCAATAAAATAAAACATAAATTACAACAGTCCCTTTCCTCTCTCAGACCCAGGTCATGATGAAGAAAGACCCAACCACTAATAGAAACAAAACTGGTTCCGACTCAACCTCTCCCCTCTCCACAGTGAATTGCTCATATATCATCTTAAGAAAGTGTTACTGATTTCTAGCTCGTTTGGGAAAACAAGAACCAAAGAAACCCAACACACATTCTACTCCATCAAATAATTAATGCCATATAAACAGTCCAAGGGTAACAAACTCCTGATAATTAAACCATCTTATATCTTAATAATATATTTTAACTTTGCATAGATTAAACAAGTCGAACCATGTAAAAGAAAGTCAACAAATGAAGCTAAAAAATAAAAAATGCACGAAGGGATGCTGAAATGAGGCACTAACTAGGACGAAGATTTTTGTCACTTTTATCAGTGCGCGGTGTTGGCAAAAGACATGAAAAACGGAAAATGCAGGTGAGTGAGAAGGCGTACATTGATGCTACCGAGGAAGTTCCTGCTTCCTAGTTCCTACAACTGTCTTAGGATAGAGTTATCATATCATTATAGACAAACAAAATAGATATCATCTTAATCAATTAACCCTTCTCGTCATCACCTATATATATATATATATATATATATATATATATATATATATATATATATATATATATATATATATATATATATATATATCTGATATCATCATCATCCACCAGAAAAAAAAAAGGTTCCAAAAGCGTCACCACCATCACCAATGTAAAAACTGCAAAAGAATACTAACACTAGAACAACATGACATGATAAAAGACTGATTCTTTGAACTGAAAAGAAAATTAAATTAGTCCAGCAGCAATAACAACTCGATCTAATTAACCTTACCTACTTCCTCAAACACTAACACAATAAGAAGAGAAAGAAACCCTAACAATTTGGGTGAGTGAGTGAGCTTAAGGGTTGAAGAAGTTTGAACATCGGAGGTTGCCCACTTTCCTAGGGCTTCTTACCGAGAGTGTGCTTGTTGTTATGCATCCAAACCTTGAGAACGTGACGCTTCACCCCGGTTTCGTTGCAGAAGGCTTGGACCACACCCTCGTCGTGTTTCTGAATCCTCCACCCTAGTTTTTCTGCAAGTTCAAGCATTTTGTCTTTTTGCTCCTGTGTGAACTTTGTTCTGAACCGTTTCTTGGACCCAGTTCCTCCTGCACTCGGGTTCGAAACGTCCTCCTGATCCTCCCGAGTGCTCTGCGTCCCGCCACCGCCAGAAGTCGACGGCAGGGCCAGCGTCCCCCCTGGGCGCGCCTGCCCCCCAACTTGAAGGTACCCGGTTGGGGTCCGGTAATAAGCAGCAAACTGCTGTGGTGGAGGGTGGTGCAGGTGGTGGTGCGAAAGCAAGTACGGGTCACCGCCGCCAACCCCGTCGCTCTCCTTGCGGTGGAAGTTGCGGTGGCAGCTACAGGCGGCACATTTGAGCGCGTCGATGGTACCTTCGGTCCCCGCCGCCATGAACTCGCAGCAGCCGTCGAGTGCGTGGCCACCTATGCCGACAGCGTGGTTCTTCAGACACTCTCTGTAGCGCGCCCTCCCCGTCCCACCGTTGTTGATGTTGCTCCTCACTGGCTGAGGAGCCATGACGGCCTCCGGTCCAACTGGAACCTTCATCCGGGTGGGGTCGTAAGCCGCGGGACTGATACACAACTCCTCCTCTTGCTCCTCTTGATCCTCAAATTCCATTCCGCAAAATTGACCAAAATCGTCAACTTGTAAACTTATGACTACTATTAATGACAAGTGATGGAAAATTTAAAAGGGGCCTGAGTACTCTTCTGGCAGTGTTTCTCTCTCTCTTTGTTCTCTGGTCTCGTCGTGCTTTCTTTGTCCAAAGGTGTATTCTTTCATATACTTTTGCGGTTCTCTGTTTTCGGAGGACACGACAATTAGAGCATAATATACAAAACTCTCTCTCTATTTTTTTTAAGATCGTCACCTTCCACCGGATGTTCCGGTCACTTCGTAATTTCTACCGATTCTTTTTTCACCGCATGCTCAAGAATGGATACGCAAGATTAACCGCGGAAAGTTTTCACTTTCGGTGACAGTAGTACTTCCCTCTACTCTGCCTCAGGACCATGATTCCAGGACAAATGACAAAAAGGATCAATTTTACTTCAATAATATATGAGTTTTTAATCCATGTATCAAGTTGTATTCAAGTTTTGTTTTTGTCCTTGAGAGTTATATATGGATACTTGTATATTATTTTACTTTAGAGAATTTTAAAATACACACTTCTATCAATTCTTGAAATGGATACTTCTACCTTATTTGAGTTGAGATTTGTGCATGGATTCTTATGTTTTATTTTAGTATATTACGCATTACACTGTTATGAATCCAATTTTATTTTTGAAAATAGGGTTAATTTAAAAATTCCAACAACCACTACACATATCAGAATAAACTGTGTGATATTGTTTTGGATTATCAATAAAGGATCTTTCTTAAATATAGGTTTTATGTATATAAATATAATTTATTTTAAAATTTAAAATTAGAGCAAAGGTGATCTTGTATATTTTAAAGGTGAGAGTAGATCATCATATATTATCCATAAAACTTGACAAAGAATCACAATTGAAATATTGGTGATAGATGTACCGTCATTAGTTAATTGATTTTTTTAGGAAAATAATTTATGGATACTTCACATAGATGATATTCAAATAATACACACTGGAAAAATTTGTATATATATAATATTATAAAATGAAAGAGATAGAGAAAATTTGTACATGTTATTTAAGTGTTTACATATGATAAATATGTACGTATTATTATTTTTTTTAATATTATATAAATTTATTTATCGAAGATTTAACAAATTATATTTTAAAAAAACATATCATAGGAATATTGTGATTTATTGATTATTTTTTTTAATTGCATACACGGAAAATTTTATGAAATCAACATTTTAATTTGCTTGCTGAAAAGTTGTTGTGGCTCTGATACATGCTAACAATTGATGTGTTAATGAATAGATGTGATACCAATATATAGTGTGATACTGGACAATTGTGAAACCATCTACGTGTTATTTTTGTGAAAGAAATCTTTAATTTATTGCTTATATTTTTACTCTTTATTTAGAAGTAACATCTCAGTAAAAAATGTCACCAATATATATTACTGAAGTTTTTATTATCCAATTGTTGTTTTAATTATAAAATATATTATTTATGAAGTCTTTTATTGAAAATAATAAACAAATCTGAATGGAAAACCATTTTCAAAATAATTTATTTGTAGAATACAATATTTTATTTTAAAATTTATTTTGATTTTATTGTCTTAAATTTATAATTATTTAATTATTATTAGTTTAAAAACATCAAAATTATTATTATTATTATTAGTTTTAAAATTCTAAATTCTAAATTATTTGATTGACACTCTTGATTCTAATTAAATCAATCATACACGTATTTCTAACTTTTTTTTAGTTAAGTAATTCCATTTTTTATTTGTTTTTCTTGTTTTACTTTCTCAGTTTCCATTTTTCATCGGAACAAAAGTTTGAGGGAGTTAAGGAGTAGAGTGGACTCATACAAGTGCGATGAGGTAACATGATATGAACACATGCAAGGAGGCGCGTGTCTTAAGTGGAGCTGTTGAATATTGGTTTGTTGGTTCCCACATAAGAGGGATAAGTGAGGCGCGTGTGATTTATTAATGTTGTAGCCATAGGGTTGTAGGAAGGAGTGCTTTTCAGAGAAAGAAGAACAACAAGTGTACCATTGCACACATTTGGATAATATCTTTATTTTTTATTTCTCTTATTTGTACTTTTTCCAATCTCTAACTTTCCTTTACATCTTAGACTACAAAAATTAAAGTCTACATGTATGATTTTCCCAAAGAACAAACGGAATTTGAGTGATACATACTAGGGTAGTAGGAAAGGAATGAGTAATGAGCATTCAGGAGGAAGACAGGGACGTGAGTATTATTATTATTATTATTATTAACAAAATTAAAATTTATGTTGTCGGTCGGCATCAAAGACACTTGTTGTTAAGCGCGATCTTTTCCGACATGGGCTACGCGCTTTTAGTGTTGAGAGCAACTTAAAACATTGTTACAACATTTATTTAATTTTTTTATAAATAAAATATGTTCTTTTAATATAAACTTTAACTCACTCGTACATTTTTACTTTACCGTGTTCCAATTTGCTTATTATAAGATTTGGTCCCACACACCTATAAATACTTATTTACAAAGAATTAGTAATTTAGGGTGAAAAGAATAGGAAGATTGGATGGATTTTGGGAATTTTGATACAATCGTGTGTGAAACTGAATATGAATTAAATGCAAAGGCGGCAGCACATCTCAATCCACAAAAAGCCTTATGGAAAGGAAAATAACAAGCCATTGTCTTCCCCAATCTCTTGGAAAAGACAACCCAACCTTACTCAAACTTACCAAACACTCTCGCATGTAACATGTTGCCCTTCCATGGATGGATGTACGAGTGATAATAAATAAGGTTGATATAATTATACACAGTTTTACCTATTACTAACCTGCATAGAAAAAAAAATATAATATAATTTTAGATCTTGTTGTGAAAATTTCCATTTTTGTAATTGTGTTGATGAGAAAAGTAAAGGAAAGAAAGTGTGTTTGAAAAATGGGAGGTGAGGGCAGTCTAATCACATCAAAATCTGGGAACGGCCCCCAATAATTGATGCAGAAAGGGGGTTGGTTCGTCACTCCTTTTTCTCACCACTCTTCAACACCAGTTCCCTTGGATCAATCATATTTATCCCCCATATCTTTACTTTCATTTTATTCTCCTCCATCACATTTTTTTAATTTCAACCTGTTAGACCAGACACTGCATTTTGGACCCATTAAGATAATTGTCATGTTATCCGCTCATGTGTCACGCTAACTGCACCCCTTGTCGTTTCGTAGAATCGCAAAGCAGTTAAAATGGTGAAGCATTTGAACTTTCAATTCACTGAGTCAGAGGGACTTTAGCCAAAATAAGATAAAAGAATAAAGCATTCAACGCATCCATGATAATTACTACAGGGGAAGGTACTTTGCTCTAATCCTTTTACAACACCCTAATGACTAACCCATTAAAAAAATGAAGTTGCTTTGCGCCATTTCCTTATTAGGGAAACCCCATCCTTGATAAGAAATGAATGTTACAATTTTGAAATTAGGATGAAAATAAAAGAAAGGAAAAAAGGGTTTGGGTGGGAAGTTAGAGGCATTGGTGAAGTGGTAGATGGAGTTCATCATGTGATGCTCCAAAAACAGCCAAAACGGACGGATAGACGTTTGATGGGACTTTCTGACACACGCACACACACAGAGTACTCAATCTCTTTGTCGTCTCCTGTATGGCTCTTTCACATTTTTTTATTTTTTTATATTTCCCTAAATATATATTCTAATAATATCCTTCAACATACAATATGTTCTATTCGTTTAATAAATTTATAATTATCACTAAGTAATATAATTTAATTTAATTTAATTATTTGGTTTTAATTTTAAATTTTCCATGCTTTTATTATACATCTCAAATGTGAATGTCCGTATTTTGCAGTAATAACATGACCTTTTAATAATAATCTTAATTAAAATAAAAATAAAAATAATTTTAACCTACTACTTTTAACTATATACGTGCTACTTTCATTTCAGTTGCAAGAGTTATGATAGTGTCTGACCACTAAATTTATGCATCGCTATCTCACGCATTTTGTTGTTAGAATATGTTACGGATGTCATAACTTCTATTAATATATATATATATATATATATATATATATATATATATATATATATTAATGCTTTTTATCAAATTATCCCTTTCTCTCTTCGTTCATAAATCATTGGAAGAAAATCAGATTCAGATGAATTATCTATAGAAGGAATTAGTAAGCAAACTAACATATATTCCTGCCTAGTCTAGTCTTCATAATTAACCATTTGAATTTTATTACGCCAATATATGCTGTAGATTGGCATTTTTATTTTGTAAAGAATCATCATATTGCATGATAAGAACCAAAAGGCTATATATACAGCTTAAACATTGTTTATTTTCTTAAATAAAAATGATAGTTTGATTTTGTCGTGTCAGCTGGCGGGAAACCGCGGATAGAACAAGACAGAAGGAGAAACAATAAAGTTTTTATATGTACTGTGGGTGTCACCAACCACAACCATGAATCAAACCAAACCAAACCAACGACAACATATGCATGTCCCTCTCTCTCTTTCTTCTCTTCCTTGCACGCGAAAACACCGTGCAGTGACGCCACAAGCCCTTTCTCCGTTGAGGTAAGCATGAAAAACAAGGTGAACGATGAATAACGAAGAGAAGAAATTACGGGACGGAAAAGTTGTGTCCGTCGAGGTAGCTCCACAGTGAGAGGGAGAGATAGAGAGGGAATTGCGGGGAAAAGGGAAGTGGATAGTGACATGACAAGAAAAAGAATGGGACGACCGTGATTTGCATTTCTATATTCTCTTGCAGCTTTTCTCTCTCTCACACACACTTGCTTCCTCTGTGTACGTACTAATAACACAAACACACACATTCATACACATACATACGTATACACTGAAAACTGTGGCCCCCATGCCGCAACAGAACCCCAGCTTGCTTGTCGCACCACCATCACCTCCATCCATTCATTCACCAACAATTCACTCTTTTCTTCACTTTTCCTCTGCAGTATCTACTGTTTCTTCCTGTCATAACATATCACATATAATCATCTTTTCATATTTTTAATTCATATAGCATATATAAATATGAACGAATATGTTTGAAAGTCAGATATGATTCTTCTTCCAGTGAGCTTGGCTTACTACGCAAACACACAGTCCTGGACACACATGTTCTTTCCCTTTCCCCTCTGCTTCTTTTTCACGAATTTGGGTTATGTATCCTATACATGTGTCCGCAAGCAAACTAGAAAAAACACTCATCAGAAGTTAACAGTCATCATGCACATGACTCTGATCTCATCTCGTCTCGTCATCACACACTCATCATTAGGAATTTAGGACCACTTCTTTTATTTATGCAGCTAAAGATGAGGGTGTTGTGTGTTTGCGAGATATATAATGCACAGAAAGAAAGGGAGTAATCATCTTAACCCATCCACTCATAATTTCGCATCACCTTGGGCACACAAAAAATATAGACTTGCTGTTCCATTAATGCCAACAAAGGTTAAGCATCATGATTACATTTCGTATATAACGACTTCAAGTTCAGATTGCGAATCTAAAAGACTTTGTTAATTGTGATTTCTAAGCACTTTAATTATTACACTGTTTTGAGTCATCATATATGTTTTACCCCGTAATAAATCATTAGCAAAACAACGTTGGTTTAAAACAAGTGACGTTGACATGTCTTCATTAATCCCAATATATATGCCTATCATTTTAAATATGAAATAAATCACATTAAAAAAATAATACATATATTTTGTGTGCATTCAAAAAGTTTTTAATAATTTCAATCGTTACTTCTAATGATAATTAATCAATATCCAAAACTATTAAAACAATCACTAAACTTCAAGACTTTATTAACTAAGCTTTTTCTAACAAAAAAGTTAGTTCCATCAACTATTCTCTTCTAGATTCAAATTCTAATCTATGCCATTGATAATTATTTTTAGAGTTAATTACATAAATACTCTTTCAGGTTTACCTTAATTATACATGCAACCTTTTTTTTTTTTAATAACATATCAATGACACTCCCTCCCCTAACAGCATTAGTGATGGAATGTTTAGACAACAATTTGAAATTAAAATTAAACAATATTTAAATTCATGATTGGGAATGTATGAAAATATGCTCCAGGGAGGAAATTGTGCACTCCTCATTTCACAAAGTTTCGAGTCTGGGTTTTAGTTATTTCCTCTCAGTTTCATGTGAGAATAGAGTTTAACATTGGTAGGGTTTGAGCACAAATCGATAGAATTTTACTCACATCTTAATAATACAAATCTACCGACGAATATATTTAATGGTACGTTAAGTAGTTGTAAGCTACCGATGGAGTTTTGATGGAAGAATTTGGCACCTTGGAGCTAGAAATTTTTAAGGAAATTTACTAACAGATATTGTTTGTATGGAATTCGTAGGTAAGAAAAATATGTCTGTTGATAGATTATTAAAAATATTTGTTTAAAAACAAAAAAAGAGAAGACTTTTTTTCATGTGAGCCCCAAATCCCAACGAAACCATTATCCTACTCTGGTGCCTTCATGTTGTTCTTCGTGTCTCTGTCATGGTTGAGTCTTTCCTTGCATTTTGTGGTGGTGACGGGAGCTGCTATTCAAATCATTGTGTTTTTCAAACATGACGACCAAGTTCCTGACGCTGCTATTCAAATCCATTTACTTGATTCTCGTACTGATCCTACTTTGTTTCTGTATTTTTTGTTGGTGATTGGGTACAAAGTTTTAGTTCATGTGGCTTATTACAAAGTTTTATTTTGTTCGGTTTGTTTATACACCTTCCTTACCTGGGATTAATGTCTTTGTTTAACTGTATGAATAAGTGAGTTTGATGTTTTTATTTATTTATTTAGAGTCTTAAAAATAATATTCACGTGGTTCTTTAGAATATGAAAGAATTGTTGTTGATAATTGTCATAGAGGAAATTTTGTTAATTATGATTACATTTGATGAGTTCACTCCTGTGTCATGGACAAATATTATTATATCAAATTTGGAAAGTAAGTTAAAAATGTATTTTAATTCAGACTTAGATTATTATCTCAAAAAATAATGATCAAATTGGAGAGTCTTATAAAGATATGAGATTTAGAAGTGGCAAAGAAAAAAAGAAAAATACTTACATGAAAGAGGACTAGACTAAGACGATGGAAGAAAAATAATAAAAGATCAAACAATTGTAAAATATGTGGGAAAACTAACCAAAGAGAAAAAATTGTTAAAATAAAATTAAATCACAATATTATAATTGTTAAAAGTTTGAACATAATCAAACGAATTTTCACTTTAAAAATTTGTGGAACAATTCATTTGGTAAAATAAAATATATAAAGGAAATTTTGTTTTATATCTGGCAAAAGACAATTCAATATGTTAGTTCATGAAGTATTTGATATATGTTTGAAATATTATTTTATTATTTTTTATTTAAATTAAATATCAAATTTTTTATTAGGTTTTAAAATAAGAAAAAAATTATTATATTATTATCTTGATTTAAGAACTGAGATACTAATATTTAATATTTTATTATATTTTTATTATATATATATAATAAAGATATATTTTATATATATAATAAAGATATATTTTATATATAAAATATACATATACATAAAAAGTTTAAAAATTTCTAATAATATATTTAAAAAATAAAAAAAAACTGGTGAAAAACAAATGACAGGTTAATAAAAAGATTAAGAAGTGATAAAAGAAAAAAAAGTGTCTCCAAATTTAAAAAAGTTTTGGAAGATGAAGAACTAATAAATAAGTAATTATTGGTTATATACCTGAATAAAGTGATACATTCCATAAAAAATAATCAAAATTTGACAAAATTGATGTTATTGAAAAAAATGTTAAAAGAATTTTAGTAGAAAGTTGTTAATATAATAATCTATTTATTGAATAAATGTTAAAAATATGATATGATTTTAAACATGAAAGGAAAAAAATCTCTAGTAAATCATCTTAAAAATTTTGTATGTATTTAGTATGTTCAAGTTTTAAAATAAAAAGATAATAAAACTTGAAGAATTAAGTCTAAGATGTATCTTTGTTTGTTATAGTTCTATATTAAACTTAATAATTTAAAATCTATGAATGTGATCATTCACCAAAATGTTAAATTTGATGATAAAGTTTTCTAAAATTAACAAGAAAAAAATTGATAAAATAATCTAAAAACCAATTTTAAAGTAAAAATAAATAAAATTAAGTGATAATTATATTAGTTATAGTTACTCAATTGTAAAATTAGAAAATGTTGAATAATATTTTTATGATTTTAAAATTTATAAAGATTATAGTATTTTAAGAATGATCTTTTTAATATTTAAAATATATTTAAATGTGATAAAAAGATAAAAATAAAAGGAAGACAAAAAATTAAAATATAAAATATTTTAGTCTTGAATTATTTTTTTATTAAAAATATTGTACACAATCTTCCGTAATCGTGCACAAGATAAATGCCTTTGTCTCTAAAATATCACAAACAAATAGACTAGTAGAACATAATTCATAATTAATAATGCATTTAAAAATAATCAATGAATTCTTCAAAGAAGCAAGACAAAAAATTATAGTGAATTAGCTTTTGAATAAGTGCTCAATTGATATTTTGGGAAGAAAATTCTATTTGTCAAAATCTTCTAAAAAGATGAGAAACATGGGAGAACCGGGAAAACCAATAACAATAAAATAAGCTTTTGAAACAAAAGATGGAGACAGATTAAATATAGAAGAACAAATTCTATACGTCTGACCTGAAAAAATTGGTATAAGAATTTCTACAAAAAATTATTTAACAACGAATAGTACAAAGAAGAACATTGGCAATATTTATGCACGAATATTCTTGCAGGGGCATTTTTACTGTATTTTAATAAACTAAAGACAAAAATAATTATGAAACATGACAAAATTAGCCACGTGGCGTCACTCATAATTTCATGGACGTGTTTTGTACCATTCACCATTTCTGAACATGTTCAGTAGGAAGCAGTTGCCAGTAAGTATACATATCAACAACTATCTCACACACACTTCATTTTTTTTTTCTTTTGTTTTTTTAGAGGGAACTGAATTCATCACTTACAATACTTTTTTCAACCATTCATTTGATTTTATCTCATACATGTGTTTTTACTTAAAAATTGATGCGGAAAATGAAGAGAATATGGTGGTATATTTGGGGTGACAGAGTAAAATGGTTGCTCCACTTGCATCCAGCTTGCACCAAAATGGAAGATAGCGAGTGAGTCTTCACCTGTTCTTGCGTGTCTTCGCCCATCCCTCAATGCATGATGACCACCCATGTGTGAATTTATGACAATCGCATCATCATGTCCCTAAATTCTTAAATATATGTTTATCTACGTTCCATTTTCTTTCTTTTCTTTTCCCAGATTTTACCATACATATTATGCCTTCTCATGCCTATCAATAGCTCCACTTCCTTTTTCTTTCCACAACTTAATAAAATTTCTACCTTAAACACCACGGCAAACTTTATAATTAATCTTTACTACCCTACCACCTTTCGATAATAAAAAAAAAAATCTGATTTATGAATGTAGTGAATTTTTTGTACTTTAAAAAGCTTAATTATTTTGATCTCAAGCTTTAATTCAAATTTATTAGGTGAATTTATGTTTCTTTAATTGTCTTACAGTACTATTAATTTGTGATTAAATTACACTTCTAATTTCCTACTTTCTCAATTTGAATCCTTACCTTCTAATCTTGTAAGTTTGGACCACTCTCTTTTTAGAACAATTTTTCTAACCCAGTAGACTGTTAGGCTATAATGACTTAAATTACCTAAATTTTTTATTTGGTTATCAATTGGCCTATATTTCTATAAGGTTCTGAAGTAGTCGACTTAAGTTTTGTTTGTTTTCTTTTGTAAAATAGATCGTTATCATCACCCCCAATTAGCACCTAATTACAGTGATTGTGTTCTTCCATATATGGTAAGTCTAATTTTCTATATCTTCAAAAAAGAATAATTAAAGTAATGCATGCTTTCATTATTAATGATCAAAAATCTATTTTATCAGATAAAAAAAATGAAGATATACACTTATTAATTATAAAAAAACAAAACATGAAACCAAGTTATATAAATCAAGACAGGCTACTTATTTAATAAACTAATATGCTCATTAAAAAAAATTTAAAATTTAGTTTAAACATTAATTGGGATTAATACACTTTAAAAAATAATAATTGCAAAAAAGAAAATACTCTAACCCATCTAACCTTTCTACTTAATCTATTAATATTTGAATTAATACATGTTCAAATTGATTTATATGTTTATAAAATTAGAAAAAGAGAGCATGTAAACACAAGATTTATTTTATCACTCGTACACTTGATATATAATTTGTTCATTTATTAAATTATATTTCAATCAAAATTTAGAGCCACAAAATAGAGCACTAAATTAAAGTTTACAGCTAGCATTTTCTTTTCTTTTAACGAATTCCTTTAATATAAATAATTTACATTTATTCTGTCAAAATTTGGGAAAAAAAAACTAAAAATATTTGGACTTATTTGAGTGTATTTTATATGTTTAGTCTATCTTGTAAAACAAGTTCATGGTACATCGTTGAAAAGAAAAACTAAAAGAAGTTTTTTTTTTCTCGTATAAATGGTAGCACTACTACCCCACTTGGTAAATAATTGCATATAATTATTTTAAAGCATGTGATTATTTACCTAACTCATCCCTAGACATGCAGAGAAATAATAGGGAAAAAGTGTAAAAGGGAGTCATTTTTGGTAATTGCGATCTTCAAATGTTATTATATTCTGAAAACGAATTGACAAAATAAACAAATAAAAGCTAACAAAGTTAAGTCCATAAGCACACCGACATGACTTGTTACAATTTTGACGGGGAAGCAAACAACAGAATCATTTAAGGGAAGAACTTTGAGAACAAAAGCAATCATTTAATGGAACAGTGGAATTGCATACTTTTGGGGTATCACAATGCCATTATAAACTGGTTTTAATGCTTGTGCCCACTCTTCTGTACGATAAAAACACTATCACACTGTTCCACTTCCAATTCCATAGATAGAAGGTAGAGATCTACTACTACTACTACTCATTCATATATTCCCTTACTTACTGCACTTATTCCATCTACAACTAATCAATAGCAAAACCAGAAAACAAAAACCAAACTGTGATTCCAAAGCAACGTCAGAAGGTAATGATTCATACACCCATTTCATGAATTGACTTTTTATCCACAAATTCAACCGTAACCAGAAGCTGAAGAGGAATTTTCTTCGAATTATGTTTCTGGGGCAGTTAATGGTTACTTTTGCATGCTTTTCCTAAAACAATTGCTTTGCTTTGGTTTCACTTTTTGCTTGCAGCTTTAATTTCACTTAAATATGGCTGTAAAGCGTAATCTTACGAAATGACGTTCCCGCGTGCAAATGAGATATATAAGTGGGTCATCTACACCTGCTTTAAGCACAGTTAACCTCATTCCTAGATTAAGACATTCACTGTTCAATAATCAACAACATTAATACTTACGTAACATATTGTAATTAAAAATGATTAGAGCCTAAAAAGCAGAAGATTAAAATTGAAAGAAAGCATGGGTTTCGGGCCTGAGAATTAATCTAAGGCTTAGATTATGGTCCACCTGACGTATAGGCCACGACCCAACATCACCGCCAGGCCCTAAACACCGGCCTAGAGATGCATCTGGTTTTTCCACTCTGAGAATCACTTCACATGGGACACAAGCAAAAATAAGTTTTAAATTGATTAATTAAACCAAAAAAAGAAGAAGAAATGGGTTATGAGAGTTTGTAATGATTCATCACTGTCCCCACAAGGGAAATTTTGAAGGATTCTTCTTAGTGAATGTCTCAGTCTTAATTAAACGTCTTTTTGACATTGTAAGCTAATTATGCAGATAATTATTATGGTGGTTCTACACGTCAGAACCACGAGCACTTTCAATGTGGTTGGACTAAGTTTATGGAAGATCATATGATATGATATTTGCATGTTGCTCCTCTGTTCCCCATTATTCACATGTCAGAAGAAATTACCAGTGGGATTTGGAGGAGCAAGAATATGCTAATTTCAACTTTTTTTTCTGGCATCTTGTTGACTTTGATGAACAAGTTTTTACAACCGTTGGAATCATTGAGAACAAGTTTGAAGATTAAGCAATCCACTCTGCGAAGTTTCAAAAAGATTTATCAAGATTACAGCGTTTGAGTCGGTGTAGTTTATCTGGAATTCTTTTTATTGTGTCTGTAGTGACTATTTAAATAACCATTAAAATTATTTTTCAGTAATTTTTACTATTATCCGTAAAAAACTTACTATAAAATATGAAAATATTTAATAATAATTTTAGTTTGTGGCGACACTCGTTAAAAAATAAACTATAATAAAAAAGAATAGTACTATTAGTTTATACAGACAATGAAGCTCAAACTTGAATCACTATAAATATTTCGAAAGTGATTTTACTTTATTAATGAAAGAAATATTATATTTGGAAACACGTTAAAAAACAAAAATAATGGTTCTGATGTCGATAACATAAAAATTAAATCTAGAATCATGTCTCATACTAATCTTGAATCAGTTCACGTAAAGATAAGGATGACAAAACTAAAGAACACTTTTCAATTTACTTGAATTGGGATAAGACGGGTTTACCCCATAGACAGAAAATGAGTTGGAATGATGAGTTTAGACAGGACTTATTGACAAGTAACTCTGGTTGATTATGGATTTCTAGCAAGTCTTTGTTTCTTCATTTAAACATAGAAAAATAACACCTCATGTCATGTATAGCTATTTAACTTCAATTCCAGACATCACAAAACTATATCATATCACAATAAAACTAAAAATAACCAACTTTTGTTATGCTTCTAATGCTTACAAAACATTTTCCATATAATTAAAAAAAATGATATATATATATATATATACATTTTTTTTTTTACATATATCATACATTTTCCACAACTTGAAATGGCTATCTCAAAGGCTTTTAGCTTTTCTTGAGGAGGCCATTGCGATCATAGGATGATTTTTTTTTAACTGTTCAGATCTTCTCATACTAGTACAAGTGCCTCCCCAACACGTTGAGCAGCCTCCCAAAATCATTTTATGCCAAAACACGATAAAAAAAATGAACAACCCCAAGAAAAAAATAAGACATTTGTTTCATGGTATAATTTAGAGCAGATTTAAATATGTTTTTAATCTCCACAATTTTTTTTCTTGATTTTTCATCTCTATAATATTTTAAATCACTCTTTTTAGTATTTATAAAATGTATACATTTTAGTATTAGTTTATAAAACATTTTTCTTTGGTTCTCATCCCTCCAAAATTTTAAATCAGTATTTTTAGTCCTTAATATTCATTTCGCAATTTATGTTTGTAAGAAAAGGTGGAGTACTGAAACTACTTACAAGAGTGCTACAAGAAGGATCTTGTCGGATGGATTTCTGCAGAGTGCTTCCATAGAACAAACAACTCCTATTTTTGTCATCTACAAGCATTGAATATAGTTTGCTTATCTGAGCAAAATACCGAAAGCCTTCGATGTATTTCTGTTTACTGAAAGAAAAATAAAAAATAAAAAAATCATACATGGTACTTGTAACTGCTGGGGGAAAACTTGGTACTTAGTGGCCTGCAATATAACCGAAGGAATGGAGACATTGTTCACAAGAATTTTTAAAAATCTGAAACTAACTAGGAAAACATCGGATGACATGTTTTATTAACGGTTACATGGAATAAGGTAAATGGCCCAGCAAACATGTATTCCATCTTGAAGGTAAAATGTGTCTGCAAAACACCATAATCATGCAAGATAAACAGGGATGATAAGCAGTTTTGATAAAAAAGCAATTGATATGAAATATTAAATAATATTACACTAAATTACCTAGAGAGTTGCTTCAGATATATCTCTCGTTTAAGTTCACAAAATAATTTAAAGATTCTTCTACAAAAGAATTTCAGGATTGAGTACTGTTGCCAGGCAATGTTTGTATTTCATAGACCATCTCAGTCAAAGCATTTTAAGAATACTTTATAAGAAAAACTTGAATCATCACAGCATTATCAAGTTTCATTTTAGGTAAATCTTATTCTCACAAGACAAGATTAGGATTAAATTAGATTAAGGAAAAGAATCTTTCTGGTATACAAAATCTTTAAAATTGGAAAATGGAGAGATACTTGCATCTAAACAAATGATAGATAGAATAAATTATATAATTCAAGCTTATAGAGAAGAGAGAATTTAAAATAAAAATATGTTTGCAAAAACCGTGATATTCATTTCATTTTAAGTTTTATATTAAAAATTTTCCTATTTATAAAAGGGAGAATGCCTTAACGCAATGTTCAAAGGATTACGTTACATATTTCACTCTTAATCTATTGCACTCTTAATCTATTGGTACATCTTAGGTTACAACAAGTTACATCTTATCATATTTTATACATCACACCTTATGCTTATAAATTGCATATTACATTTTTATCTTATTAGTATACTTATTTGGTACATATTACATCTTATCATATTTTACACATCACACCTTATCACTTATATGTTATAGATTACATTTTTATTTGATTGATACACTTTATATTGTTAGAATCTCATAAACTATTTTGGTCCAAGATACATTTTTGGACTCAGCTAGTTTTCTCCATTATCTTGATGGAGAAAAGAATTAAAGAAAATTATAAATTTTGAAGAAAAAAATAGAGATGTAAGATGAGTCTTTTAAGACTTTAATCTCAATTATTATAATCTAATGAACTTATTTCCATAATTTGTCAAGACAATTATAATAAAAAAATGAAATATACTTTTTACCTACAAAAATTATCAATTGAAGAAAAGTTATAAGCTTCAACTAGTTTATCTATGCGACATCAATAGCTATCATCGCAAGTCATTTGATCTTAATATGATTAGTTCATCTCAAAAGTCGATAAGATATGACTAGTTCATCACAAAAGTCGATCGATACTTATCATCTTGATAAGATTATCCTAATTAACAACAATCATCAACAACTAATGTTCTTTAAATCTACACTAGAATTTTATGTCTAAGAAAAAAAATTCTAGAAGGTGGAGGATTATGCATATGACTATAATACAAAATTAATAGAAAAAATGACGATGCAAGAGCATATGTTTCCTAAACATCATCCGATGCAAGAAAATATGATTAGGAGTGAAGTTAGACAAAATAATTGTTACTTGTGTATTCCATCAAACTAAAGAAATCTCTTATGAAAGACATGACAAGATGTAATTAACAATGTGAAGTGTACCAATAAAAAAAGAGTACAATTCATAACTGATAAGTGTTGAGGTGTGATATGTAAAATATTATAAATGTAATATGTAGTCATATGAAGTGTACCAATCAGATTCTTATATTTAGTACATAAGTGATAAGGAGTGATGTTTAAAGTGTGATGAGGTGTAATATACAGTAATGCAAGGTGTATTAATAAGATATGAGTATAATCTATAACATAATCCTCTAAGGTTTACACTAAAACATTTTCCTTCCTACTTGTAATGTAAAATCCAAACTGAAATAAATCTAAAAGTTTTCTATTAACATGTTTTCATCTAATGGCTCTCTTATATGAAAACCTGAAATATATAGTGCATATCATATATCTTCCATTTAAATACAATATTAGTCTCTTTTAAGGATATTGGATAACGGAAAACTTTCAATCTTAGATCCAATTTAATGATATTCTTGATTTATGAGGATAAGATTTACCTATAATGAAATTTGATAATATCGTAAGGACTCAAGTTTATCTCAGAAAGTATTCTTATTATCCGAAGAAAGGGTTCATACGAAATGGTATAACAAAGACATCTTTTGCAGAATTTTTCTCCTCTGAATTTTTGCACTTTCTTTGCTAGTATTTGCTCTTCATCTGGCTTCAACCACTAAAGGTTTCTTGGTTATATCTGCAGGAATGTTCAAAGTTCATAGCAATCAACATCAAAGTCATGCACAACATTATATATATCCATGTAGATATTATCATGCGATGATTTCTATAAGCATATTTCTGGCATCCACGTTATAAATTCAAATTTCATACATGCTAACACATTGAATTTACTAAGGAACTACAGTCTCAAGCACACAACAAAAATCCCCAGAATAACAAACCGGGCAAGATTAATTTCTGTCTAACTTCTGCTTTGTGCATGAAAGCAAACAAACTTAATTTGAGCCTTATTATTGCGCCTATCTCAACTCAAGGACTTCGTGAACTGCAAAAACACCAAAAATTGTGTCACAAAATACAGAAGCAAGAATGAGTTTCTCACATAAATTTTAGCAAATAGTTAATTTGAAGGTTCATAAAAGCAACAGTCTTCGTTCACTTTGCTTAGACATCGAAGGAAATATTAACCTATGCTGAATTCAAAGCGGCAACTGACGAGCAGCTATGTTGGGATTATTTTTATTTTTTTTTAATTTCAAACAGGTCTTGAAATGGCTTAACTATTGAATTGCTAACAGTGACAGAGTAAGATGTTACAACCCCTGGGACAGTTTTCTTAGAGAAGGTTATTAGGTTTGTTGAATTTGGGCATCAAAGCAAGCAGGGTAGGAAATTTAGTTAAGTTTGCTAAATCATCCTTCATTGATAGATATTTATTCCTCCAAATGTGCCGCTCCAAGCTTAGTCAAAGAAGCAGTCCCGGTTGCAATGAGTCCATCATACCACTGTGACCACACATTAGTGTTGGTTCTGAGAAACTACATAAATGTGCAAAATTCATAGAAAAATAAAATTTAATATTTCGCCTTTTATTCCAACTAGCATTTCAAGATGTTCTGAAAATACATATAATCCGAAGCTGCAAGTTGAATCTATAGAAGTCATAGTAACAAGTATACAGAAGGAGTCAAATACATTATATTAAGTATATTAGTGTGATAGTATATTATTAAAGTTCTAACATAAAATCAATTGGTGGAGTAGCCTAACATGTATTTAAACCATACCAAATGACATGAGGTAGGCGATGTGGGAATTTCAATATACCCCCTTCAACGAAACTTGCCAGACCAGGTAAATGGTACTTTTGACCCAACTAAAGGGCAACATGTCAGACCAACTAAAGGGCAATTTTTGGCTTATGACAATAATCAGAAAGATGTTAAGCTTTAGCTCTGATACCATGTTAAGGTTCTAACATAAAACCAATTAGCAATATGTGGAGTAGCCTAATATGTATTTAAACCATACCAAATCACATGAAGTAGGCGATGTGGACTTTCAACTAAAAAGGGAGGGGAAGGGAAGGGTGAGATGGGAATTTTAAAGATAGAGGAGACAATATTAGTATATTAGTGTATATGTTTAGAATAGAAGTGAATACCTGTCAAAGTAAAATAAGTCATGCTAGAAATATGGATAAAGCAATTCAGAGCAAAAACACCAAAATGGATAACTATAGCCATATTTGACACAGTTACATCAAATGCACCTGTCAGACTCCTCACCTTGTCAAAGTACCAAAGGTATCAAGGGATATCCAAGCAACAAAAGTATACAAAGTTGTTGAAATATCAACTCATAACTTAGAAAACTATGTTGAAAAATATAAAGTTCAAATTGAGAAAGCAACAAAAGGAAAAAAGAAAGGTAAGATTCAATGTGAAATTTTAAAATATTTTGCTGTATTGTCCTGCTACTATTGTCATCCACATTCATGGCATAATTTAATTTAATTTTTTTCACCACAAGACGTGTAGGTCAGGCACGAGGTACAATATTGTGCCAGTTAATTTGGATCACTCTATGAAGTACAATAATGCCCCAATTAAATGAATGAGGGCAATTAAGATCGATGTAGGGGAGTGGCATGAACTACCTCATCGCGTAATCTAACTTGAAGTGTAAGAAAAATGAATTTATAAATATAAAATAAACAACAGAAAAGAAGTTAGAATAAACAAGCAGTGACAATCTATGGGCCCAACTTTCGTTAAGATTAGAACTGCAATCAGACCATGGTCAGACAGTGTGTAAAGAAGATACACTAATTGAGTCATTTCAGTCTTTTAATCAAGTTTCTGATCTATATAGTCAGTGATTATATATTAAATAACTACATATAGGAACAATACACATACTTCATTTAAGAGCATCCGCTATTCACATAATCACTAACTGAGAAACTAACCACAACTTCATCGCACAATGATGAAAAACTAAACAATGATCATCAAGCACAAAAAAAGTATAGAAAATACCTGCGTCTCTCTTGAGCATCAACAAAATCATTATAAATTCTCAGCATGTCCCAGACAACAGACTTCTGATACCAAATAAAAAAAGAGAACCAAAAGTATTAACAATATTTATGTTAATATTAGTGTAGAACAAATACACATTAAGACTACATGATGAACCATTTCTAATACTATTTATGATAACAAAAGTTGCAGACTCTGAACCATTTGTAGCTTAGTCTACTAAGTTCTAAGACTACTCATGCCAAGATGGCTCCTTTGTCATCATTTAGATGGTTTTCCAAATTGAAAATTGAATCACAAATCAGAGCAATATAATAAGTTTAAAAATTAAAAGCCAAGACCTCTTCTAACCTGCCGTCCTTGGTCTAGAAATAATTTTCGTTTGCAAGTACCGTTGGTTTAGCATATAGCACAACCGCAACTCTGGTGCAAAATAGAAAAGTCAAATCATGTTACGATATCATATACATTGACAAGTAAAAGTGATATACGTTTGAGCAAAAATCACAAGCTAAGAATTTATATTCAGAATAAGAATTTGGTAAAAGAAAAAAGAAGTAGATGACAGAAGCGTAAGGAAACCTCCTGGAACAGAGAACATACAACCAAAACACAATTAGCTCATTAAATCAAAGCTACTTTGCGAATAGGGCATTAAACCATTGGACATTAAATCAAGGCTATATAAAATCACAAGGAAAAGAGAAGGCACCATTCCTTCTTATCTATAATGTATGTAATCAGTGATAAAAAAATATGGAAACAAACCAAATAACAACAAACTAAGTAAAACTGAAATCAAACTGGTGCATGTTTAGTTGAAATTTAATTAAACATACCTAAATACCAATTAAAATATACCTAAGATAATCAATGCTGAGGCTTTACAGATATGCAAGTTGAACAAATCATAAAATACATGAGGATCAGAGACTTGTAGATCCCATCTCCACAGCTTCCTTGATGCCATTTCTGTCGTTTTACAAATTTCCGGAACAGACAACACTCGCCACCAAATCCCCAAAACAGACTGGGAAAAGAGAGTTAAAATATAGTATTGATATAAATCACGAATTTATTTAACACAAGAAAGACCAAAATTTACGCGCAAAAAAACAGAAAATATATCCAATTTTTTTAGTCTATGTGTGTGTTACAATGAATCTAAGATTGGTGACAAGCAGAGGATGAAGAGGGACACAGTTTAGAGAAGGTTACTAAGAGTGAGTGAGTGTTGCTTGCTCATGCTTCCGTTGTCCACCATTGAGCGTCAACTTTATCCACTACGGACTGAATTTTAAAATCACAGATAGTAATAGAATGTTCCAATAATAATAAAGAAAAGGTTAACTTTTAGTAATTAACAAATAGTTCATGCATCCTGTTGTCGCGGAGAAACTGTTCTTTGGGAATTGTAAGAGAAAAAAAATCTAATGTAAAATGAATAAAAATAATTGTGCTGTTAAAGATGAATACAAATCATAGTAACTTATTTGTAATCCACACCTATTATTTTATTAATTGATTTTTTATCTAAACCTATCATCTGATTGCTTATATTTAATTTTATCTCATTACAAGAAAATAATATAATAAATTATTTATAAATAATTTCATCCATATAATTTTATACTTAATATATATATATATATATATATATATATATATATAATTATATTTCAAATGAAAATTAATATTAAATTATTTATGTTAAACAACTTATATTATAAATAAAAATGATCATATGTCATGAACGTGTGATAAAACCCAACTTTTATATATTATAAATAAATAGGTAATTAGTTACAATTTTTTCAAACTAAAAATTGCTTTTATAATTTTTTTAAGATAACAGCAAAATTAATAATGATGTTGAGCAATACATTATTTATACAAATAATGAAGTGAATTTTCTAAATATTAATATGGGGTGAATTGTAAGACTTATAAAATTGAATTAAACACTGATATTGGAGTGAATTTTTGTATAAAAAACTTAATTTATGTAGCATTGTAAATTCGCAAAATAAAAATAACCTTATGCACTGGATTTTATTACTAGCGAAAAAAAGAGAATAGACTGTAAACAAAATGTAACTATTTTTTCCATAATTAATAATATCATCTTTGAAAAGTTATTTGAGATTCTAATATCTACAATGACTTCTTAACGTCAAAATAATAATAATAATAAAATATATAATTAGTAAAATAATAAAATTAAATGAGATTTTCTTAATTAACATAATAGTTTATGTGATTATCTTTAGATTCAAAATAAGTATTTTTAAACAGAAGTATGTTAGAATATATATATATATATATATATATATATATATATATATATATATATATATATATATATATATATATATATATATATATATATATATATATCGAAGCTTATGATAGAAAATGCTTGCAATATTTAATGGAAAAAAAAAGTAACAACTAATTGAAGCACGATTGACTTAAGAAAAAAGGCACCATCTACTTATGGTGATCACTAGAAAAGTTTGAACTTCAAAATAAAGGACTATATAAAAGATTTAGTGAGTTTATCAAGGTAGAGTCCATCAGGAACCATCAATGCAAATAAGCTCATACTGGACACACTTTTTGAAGAAACAGAAGTGAACTGCACAACAAAAATAAACATATTACATTTGCAGCTGCAAAACAGATCAGTTGCAGAATAAATCAAAACCAACTTATACTGCATGACAAAACAGATCCTTTCCAAAATTATGAAATTTACTGTGTTTTTCACCTACTTCAAGTCTAACATCACCATCATCTGCTGAAATATTTCAAAACAAGCTCCTGGATTGTAAAACAACACCCACTAGCAATCCACTGCCAAGAGTACACCTTAAAATATTTCATCCATTGTTCCCTCTCTCCCAATGTTGAAAACATTTGAGAACACCAAACAATAGAAGATTATATAACTTTGCCACCTGATTCTTTTACCTGAATCACAATTAAGCAATCCCAAATTCTGTTTGTTGCTCCATTAACTCAAGCACTCTACTCACCTTTGAGAAGAATTCGCATTCAAAATACAAGTGAACAACAGTTTTCACTTCCTTAAGGGACCTCTAGACATTGGTTGGAATAATTCCTCCACATGCTAAGTTCTCAGGGAGAAATCGGTCTTGAGCTACCTTCCAAATACAAGATTGAGCCTTGAGTATGTGCATGTCATCCTTATTTTTTAAGAATACATCCGAATTCAGCCTAAATTTGGATAATAGGACCCTATATGCCAATTTATTTAAACAAGTAAATGCATCCATGTAATAAATGAATTTACATGAATGTTGAATCTTTATAAAATAAACACAAATTTAACCTTCCATCGACGCTGGCTTCGGTGAAGTTTTATTACAAGATAGAATGACAAAAAAGTCTCTATAAGATTCAAGTTTTGATATGACCAATCCTAAATCATCCTCTGAATCTTGTCAATGAAATTAACCATAATTTCAAGACTTTTATCATCTGCAACAAAGAAGCACCAAATCAAGATCTCCTATTTCAGAGTTGAGACATTATATGTACAAAACTAATATTCAAAGGCGTCCTGGCAAAAGTCGTAGTTACAATGAACAGAATTACAATTTAAAGTAGGAGATACCACTAACCAAGTTTGGGAACTGTATGCCCTCTGGGATGGTGAATTACAACAGGATCCTTGAAAACTCCCAATAAAGCAATGTTCTCTTCCTTCTGGAAATCTTTTTCCCCTTTGCCACATTATAAGAATAGAGGATACAATACAACTTTTTAAAAGTCAAGTGTACAGGAAAATTTGCTTAAGCAAAAACATATATGAGGGACTTGAAACTACCTACCTACAAAGTGAAGAGATGGGCAATCAATTGGTTTTGAAAATGCATTAGAAGCCAATTTAGGCATTCCAAACTTGTTTCCACCAAACTTAGCGCCAGATATCACAATCAAAAACTTGATCTTGTCTACCTTCCCAAGTGCTACACCCTATAAAAGTCATCACTCCCTTTAGTGAAATCAAATGTAGTTTTAACTTATTTAGCCTAATTAGAGCAACTCTAATACCGTTGTTTACGCAAGTTGCTTAAAAATTAAATGCATTGCTCAACAAAAAGTTGATATACCAGTATCATTATTTAAGTGTTTTTATTAAAAAAAAAAAAGAGTACTTTTCAAGATAAGAATGAAGACAGAGAAACAAAGCTAAACACTCATTTAAAAACTTCAGCATTAGACTAAAAACTCAAGTATTCATTCTTTGACAAATTAAGGTATAAAACCGTTTGAGCAACCAGGCTTCATGCTTCGTAGATACTCAATGAAAACTCAAGTATTCATTCTTTCACCAAAAGGGCATTTCGTCACGGAGGGAAAGATCAACATAATGTCTAAAATAGAATGTCTAAAGAGTAAGAAGATGAGTTTCTTTTTCAGTACCTCCGCTTGCATTCCTGGCAATGAAGCCGCTAGAATTGCTCCCTGAGAGATAACATTCCTGATTTGTCAAAATTGGAAAAACAAAAGATACTAAAAGCACTAATAACATCATAGCAGCAAAGTCCACACCTGAGAGAAACCCAATATACCATCGAAAGGACCATTTTTTAGCATGTAATCTTCTATGTATGCTAAACATTCTTCGAAGTTCCTATACTTAGAGAAGTCCTGTACACAGAAAAGTTAAATGTTAGCACCATGAGTTGGATGATGAAGGTGGAGGGATTATCAACATGGGTTGTCTTGTCTCTTCAACAACCTCATTGGCTTGGAACCATTCATAGTAAGGAGGGTAAAAAACGCCTTCGACGTCAGATCTTCCCTGTGCGGGAAACTGGTCATCGAGGAACACGAGGTCCAAGTTTTGTATCACAGGTTCTGGCCATCTCAAGACTAATTGCTTGAGGATTTCGCCACTGGTTCTGAATCTGTGGAGGCACGGGATTCTTCCATAGTGCACACTTCGACCGCAGATTATTACTCCTAGGGTTGTTTCATCAAATCAAATTCTGTCACTATTCTTTTGGAGTTTTAGCTGCCAAAGTTACAGTAGTTTAATACAATAGTTGGTCAACTTTGCAGATGGGATGATTTGATGTTATTGTCTATGCTTCTTTGTTATTATTTTTTTAATATGAAATAAAAAAATATGTTTTTTTTTAAATTGATAAGATGGATTAGTTTAATTTAGAAATCAAATTAAAAGTTCGCCGTTATTTTTAAAAATAATTAAATTTTAATTAAATTAAACTAACATCAATAAAATTGTTAGACTTTTTTTCAAATTTTTAGTAAAAAATTCTATTTAGATCAAATTTTTATAATATTTTTTTTATAAAAAAATAATATATTTTAATTTTTTATCTCATTAACTTTAAATAATAATTTTTTATATTTAATAATTATTTATTTTTATTTTTTAATATATTTTATATTTATAATTTTTATTATAATTTATAATTTGTATGATAATAAATTTTATTATTTTCTTATTTTTTATAAAAATATTATTTTATTAAATTTGATTTTATAATATTTAAATGGATGATATATATTTTTACCCATTTAGTTTTTAAAATATTATTTTTTAAATAAAAATTTAAAATTTCAACAATATTTTTAATTTTATTTCCAATAAAAAATAGATTTTATTTTTAAAGGATATATATAAAATACAAAATAAATTTTCTTCTCTTATTTTTCTTTTCTTAAAATTGTTATTTAAATATAACATCACCAATAGATGAAAAAACAATTTTAAAAATGATTTTTTAACCTACTTATAAAAGACCATGGAAAAAATTGTTGAAGTTGAGGTGATTGAATGAGAATAAATGAATGTCAGAAAAACTCAACGAATAGACTGTGACCCTACTCTGCAATACTTATGTCTCCTAATGATATAATATCTGAAACAATATCCCAATGGACTGATTATAACTTATGACAAATTATAGCACCAATTAGATTTTGACTATAAACGCTCTTAGTCAAAAATTGATGGTAGAATATAAGACTATTGAACTTATAACAAATTATTATATTATTATATAGCCTTTTTATTCTATGGAAAAGAAATGATAATCATAGCTGTCAAAGAAAAATAATTATTATGCAGTGTGTGAAATTATACTACCTCAATCAATTTATATGTGATATATTTCTAATTTATCCATTAATTAAAAAGTAATTAAATACTATGTTATTTACATAGAATTTTGATCAAAGATGGTTAATTCAATTGGAATAAAAACATTTTACATACCATTATCCTTTCACTATTTTTGTATGTTTTACCTTTACTGATGACAGGGAATGTTTTAAAATTAGACTAATTTAAAATAATAAAGAAAATTCGATAAAAAATATTGAAAACTAATTGAAACTAAATTTTTATTTGATTATTTTGGAAAGACATATAATATGCATATGAAACAACTACAACCACGTAGAAGGGATCAGAAAGAAAAAAATTAAAATTAATATTAGGATAACATAGATTAAGTTTTATCCATCTATTAGGAGTTCTTGTTTAATATAGTTTTATATGAATTAAAAAATATATATATATAATATATATCCTTTAATCTTTATTTTTAGGTAATATAAGACTTATTAATATATCGAAAAATAGTTTTCTAAATATAAATCAGAGACATACTCATCTGTAGATGAAATATTAATTTCCATCATAAGATTGAGAGTCTCTCACTTTATTCTCAATCCCCATAATATCAAATGGGAGGTTACATTCTTATAAGTTCATGAGTCTCGTATCGATAAAAGTGGAAATCAATAATAACCTACAAATATATTTTTAAAGATAAAATTGTAATAGATGAAAATTTTAAAATAAAGAATATGTGGAACGTAACTAAACGAAACAATACTAATTTAAAAAAAATTATCATTTAAATAAAAATAAATATTTTAAAAAATTAACTCAACTTCTCGTTTAATTAAGAATACTTACATTTTTTTTATAATTTAATTTGCAAAAAAAATTAAATTTTTTTATAATTTATTAAAAAATATCTATTTTAAAAAGACAACCCAGAGTTGTAGGTTTTTTTTTTATCATGCCTTTTAGGTCCTTTTGAAAAAAAAAAAAATTTGATACCATTTAAAAAAAAATTCTTCTTTTCCACATGCGTCAACCTCACCAACTCAATGTTTTTTTTTGTTACCTGTCAAACTGTACAGAGTCTTCTTATAGTAGGAGGTGTTAGTCGATATGTAGACTTTTGGTCCTATCACGTAAAGTTAGATATAAAACGATTTTAGTAAAAAAAATTTGAAAAAAATAAAATAAATATAATTTAAACATAATTTATAAAAAATATAATAATTTTTTCATAAAGAAGTCGTAAAAATATGTCGTAAATATTTACATTTTATTTAAAAATATGATTTTAATATTTTGTTTAAATATATCAAACAGTTTCAAACACCACCTTTTTTATATAAATTAAAAATTATGTTTGCAAACACGATTTCTCATTAGATTAAATGTGCTTCCAAGTAATAGTGACAAGAAAAACGTGGATGTATTATCATTAACTGCTATTTTTTTTTCCAATATTACATGTTTTTATAGTGAAGAATCTTAAAGCTGCAAAATATTTTACATCAAAGACAAATAGGACACAAACATCATAAATATTGTAGAAATTTTTGAAAGCATAAATTAGCATCCAAAGAATATTATAATTTCTTAAAAAAAAAAGTGCGTTACCACCTTTTTATAAGTTAAAAAATACTTAAAAATATTATTTATTTATAATAAAAGTATACTTCTAAATATGGCTAGTTAATTTCCATAATTTCTATGATTAAATAAAAAAAATTTACCTCCACTACAAAAAAAAGTTTATTATCTACAAAATATTATTTACGGATAAAAATTCGTAAATAAATTGTATATTATATTACCTACTGAATTCTATCCGTAGATAATTATCCATTACCTATGGATATTTTTCATAGGTAATGTCATCCGTGAGTAATTTCGTAGGTAATTACCTACGGAATTACTATCCGTAGGTAAATTATATCAAATTAAAATATATTGTATGTAAGTTATCCATTACCTACGAATATTATCTATAGGTAATGTCGTCCGTGGGTAATTCCGTAGGTAATTACCTACGGAATTACTATCTTTAGGTAAATTATATCACATTAAAAAAATTGTAACTAACAAGATTCGAACCTAATATCTTAAAGTTGATAATGATACTCCAACCATTAAATATATAAATATGTAAATATATATAAATATATAAAATATATAAATATCAAATATATAAATATAAATATATAAATATAAAATATATAAATACAGCTAAGGATTAAGAATTAATAGAATCTATTTTGATCGAATATTCTAGATATATTTTATGAAAAAATTTTATTTCAAAAATATATAAATTTGTATTTATATATTTGATATTTATATATTTTATATTTATATATTTTATATTTATATATATTTTATATTTATATATTTACACAGATAAATATAAATATAACTTATTTGTAAGTTATTATCAAAATATCCTAATAAGTTTAGTGATTGGAGTATCAACCTCCAACTTTAGAGTACTTAGATTTAGGTAAAATGACATTACCTACAAATTTTAGTCCTAGATAATAGGCTTTTTTTTACCGTGGTTATATTCGAACAAAAATTAAGTATATTTTGGTGTTTTAAAACTTGTTTGTGTATTATATTTAAAAATAATTTTATTTTTTTTAATATAATGTTTAAGGTTGAGCTATTAAAGGTAAAATAAGTATTATTTTTTAATAAATTTATTAATTTTTCATTAATATTTATCATTTTAATATTCTCTATCTAAAATTATTTTTAATAATTTATATATTTTCTCTTGTAATAAATATAATTACAAAATAAAAATATAATTAATAAAAAGGGTTAATACAATCTTTAAATTTTAAAAATTACATATACTTTTTATAATTTATTTAAATAAATATTATTTTTAATAAATTTGCTGATTTTTTTATTAACGACTTTATCATTCTTATGTTCTTTTTTATCAAAAATTAGTAATAATAATTTGTTAATTTTTTATGTAATAGAAAAAAATTTAAAATAAAGTTTATCAACCAATTTTTTTCTATTTATTTTTATAATTTAATCTCTAGCTATTTAAAAAAAATACTGATTCAAATAAACTTTGTTCTCTTTAAAGATTATGTCGAGTTTTCTTAGTTCCAACGTAACTAGAGATCGACCTTGATCTTGATCATGTTAATTCATAATCTCTTTCTCGGTGCTATTAAATGAGCTTTAGAAGAAATTTTGTCCTCTGTTTCACTCCTCCTGCATTCCAATGCAAATAAAACATGGTTTTAAAAATTTGATTTCTACCGATCCCAAATTAGCAACTACACAATGTCATTTGTTCAACGTCGTTCTTATTATATTCCATTTGATACATACTATAATTGTTATTCGGTGGTAACTCGGTTTTGGAATAGGAGGTTCTTTTTTGGTCATCCAATTGTATTCAAAACTAAATAGTATTATTAATATTTTTTGTGTACTGAAGATGGAAATATAAAAAATAAGAATTACATTCATACGTTTTAAATTCACTCATCATTTTAGATAAAAGAAACTTCAACATAAAATCATCTAAGTTAACGGTTAATACAATGAAAAAAGAAAAATAAAATAATTTGTTATAATAGTAAACTGAAAAAAAATAAAAGATATAAGGTGTATTTCTCTATCATCCTCCTTAAGCTAGGTGCAATGATTGTGGAGACCAAACTTGGAAATTACAATATTGAAAAGAACATAATAAAGCCATTTGGTAAAGACATATGCAAAAGAAGGAACACGAAGGAGATGTATAAGACCATCTAGAAACTTTTATCTAGTAAGGTGACAATCAATTTTAACATGTTTAGTTATCTCGTGAAAAATAGGATTGTTGGTTATTTGAATGAAA